TTGCTTGTCAATAACAAAAATTTCAACTGTTGTTTTCCTAGGCTCGAAGTGATGTTTTGGGACGCATGTTTGGAGTTCTTCGCAGGCGATATGGCAGAGTTGTTGGTGAAGATTTTAGAGAAGGCGAAAATACTTTTGTTATTAGTGCCAGATTACCTGTTATTGAGAGTTTTGGACTTGCAGATGAAATAAGAAAACGTACTAGTGGTGTTGTCAGTCTTCCACAATTACGTCCCGGTGGTTGGGAATTGCTAGATATCGATCCGTTACAAAAAGATATGTCTTCTATAGATAGTAAAGAATCTTTTAGTGAATCGTTTCGCACAAAAGGAGGTTCCAGTAAACTTTTTCGATCGAAACTACCTATCTCAAGTCTTCATGATGGTGGTGGTGGTGATGATGGAGCTGATGAAAATATGGATGAACCCACAAGTCGAATATCTAGAGTACAACGTTATATTCGAGAAGTTAGACTACGCAAAGGATTACCATTAAATGAACAATTAGTGCTTAATGCCGATAAACAGAGAACGTTAAAAAAGAATAAATAGATATGCTATTTTATAAATAAAAACAACTTGTAAATTATATTTTAGAGTTATATATAATTTTCCATTTGAATAAATCATAATCTGTTTTGATCCGAATTCACATCAATTTTCTATGTATCTTAGTATTTCTAATGACTACTATTAGCCTGATGATTGATTTTCTTGACTTTCTGTAAGGAGCTCCCATTTTATTTTTAGGTGTTTCTTTTTGAATAATATTATCGCCAATCACTGTTGAGATTGTGACTTAATGGATATTATATTGTTTTCGTTGTGTATTAGATTATAAGATTTAAATATTATTTACTACACATTCAAATGTTTTCTTTTTGGCAAAACAAAAGCATTATTGATCGATGGCATTCGATCTGGACTAAGAAGGACTTGATACACAATGACATTGATCATCACCCAGTGATCAATCAATTGTGATTACATCTCAGTCTTACAGGAGGTCGGTCGCGGCCCGGACAGCCCAGTGGTAACGTCTCTGACTGTGAAACTGGATGTCACGGGATTGAGTCCGTTAGGGAGCACCAGTTCCCTCAGGATTACAGGTACACCTTACTGACGAGTGCCAAGTAGCATGGAACCCCGGTCCAGGGGATCCTATCGACTACCTCCAACCACCATTATTATTGACTATTATAATGTACGGTGGATATGATTCACAGTTCAGAAAATTAGCTTAACTCTTGGTAAATAAATTATTTATTGATTACTATTTTGTGTAGGTTTTAGTTTATGTATTAATTCTAATCCTTGTGCAAACCGTTAAGCTCAAATCGGAGTTTACATTCTATAAATCCATACAGTTATAGTTTGTCATTTAATGGATAATCGAATTAATCCAGATAGACATCGGTCAATTGAGAAATCATCTGAATAAATACATGTAATGTACAATTGACAATCGTTGTTGTTAATTCATGTTTAAATTTCATTTATATATTCCACTTACATATTATCATATCAATTTGGACAATTTGAAAGTTGCATATATGATGTATCTTGATTATATGATAATTTATCAATCTGCTGATACATATTTTGTGTACTGTTCACGCTTCTGTCAGGGGAACCAAATCTACAAACAAAAACAAATTTCAGATTAAATCGATAGTAATAGCTTTACAGAAAAAATTTGTGGCGAGATTATAATTTATAGACAAGCCAACTAGGAGCGAGTGAGCGATTTCAAGGTCATGGTGCCTATTTCAACACCTATTGCTCATGTATGATCTGTTTACAGCGGATTTCAAGGAGGATGTTTTAGTTGAGCGGCTACAACATATGGGATTACTGAGAAGTTTCTGTGTTTGTGATTGCAGTGTTCAAATGACTGCTGGACATTGTGCAGACTATCGTGACGATTTTGTATTTCGATGTAACATATGTTAGAGGAAACCATCTGTTAGAATGGGGACATTTTTCGTTTGATCCCGATTGACACCAAGACAGATTGAGATAACTGTTGTAAACTGGACAGAAAAAACACCAGTAACACTGGCTGGAACCTTTGCAGATGTTACTGAAGCTTCGGGAGTTCAATGGTATGAGTATGTAGTGTCAGTTTTTATGTTAAGCCCACACAGCTTATTTTAGCTTCCAGACAGGCCACGTTATTCATTCATCTTGAGTCCCACTTTCACTTTGTTAATTATTCGCTTGTCAACCTTGACTTTTTATGTGAGTGCCTGTGTGTGCATTTCATATCTTACCACATGTCTGTAACCTATTTTTGTCTGACTATAAATATCGATTAACGCCTGATTAAATAGAGTTGTCTCATATGCCTTCTCCACTGCGTGTCATTCCGTTTCGCTTCGTCTCCTCGATTGTCCGTGCAGATCAACGATTGCACGAAATAAACGTATTTAAAACTTCGGTCTCGTATTTGACTTATTTAATTCCGTTATTCACTGACGCTATTTTAGTCGATGGTTATACACGAGGATTGACGATATGCACATTTCGATAGCAACCATTTATCTGATCTAACTGGAATCAGATATTCCAGGGCCACTAAAAGTACTGTCGATATATAAGCGCAATAAAGATGGAAAGCTTGAATCAGTCGTTTGTAGGAATCGGGCGAATCGTAGAAATTGATGGAACAGTTGTTAGAAAACGCGAATCCAATAGAGCAAGAAGTATTAAGTGCTTAAGATTTAAAACCTCAGGTTAATAATAATTTACCTTCCTAAATAAGTCTTCTTGTTTAGATCTAGCTATTATCTGTTTGAACTAATCAGTCTAGTGATACATTATTTCTTGTTATTTGACTAATAGTCGTAATGTGGGTATGTTTCAACCAAACAATCTCTAATACATGTTTAAATGTTATTTATTTGATTACAAACATTGGTCCAAGGGGCACCAAATACATATTCGCCACACAATAACAATGAGGCCAGTAATAATCATTGATTCGTGTGTGTGTGTGTGTGTGGGGCGAGTCTTGAGATGGAATATTTAAGGAGTTAACTAATTGTCAACTTGTTTAGAAATAAGTCTGTGAGAGCAGAAAGGAAAAGGATGAATAGCAACTGGAAAAGGTTGCCCAGAACAGAGTTGAATGGAGAGTGCTGGTGGGCGGTCTATGCTCCTCCACGAGGGGTAACAGGCGTAAGTAAGTAAACGTCTTTGTCACTTGCACTTAAGTCTTTCACTTGTTTTATTCAAGTTATTGTCAGTTATTACTAACGTAGGAAATAGCATGAGCATAGATCAGTCCAGGTGGCCACTGATTGGTGATTCCCTACTGTATCGTATTTTGAACTAAACATCTTAAGATCTCAATCTTGCTTCGATCTCTACGTCATCAGATTTCGTTAAAACGTGTTTTTCTATTTTACTGTAGTGTGTGCATTGTTTTACTGATAAATTGGACAATTAATCTTTTATGCCTGATATCATTCATATGAATGAAATTATTTATTCCAGTTATCAAACTGTAAAATTTGCATTTTAACATGTTAACTTAGCAAAGACCAGTAATAGCCTTGGAGTTAATTAGTTACAGTATGCTCTTGTCAGCTGAAACAATATGACTTTTCATTTAAACTCATCAATATTTGCTGGATGGAATTTGAAATTAAGAAGTTGTTTATCGGAGTCAGTAGTAATTATGACAAGTAATTTTTTGAATAAATCTTCAATGGCACATGTATGTTATACTGACGGACTAATCAGGTTTAGATACAAAAGGGATCAAGAATAATAAATTTTAATGGATGACTTAAAGGTTCTTTATATTTAAAATCAGGAAACTATCTACATTCGTATCAACTGCATCTTGGCTGGCTGTGGGCGGATCTTACTTCGTCAATGTTGTTTCAGAGTCATCAAAGATCATTTGTACAGTTTGCTAATACTAACATTGAAATATATCAAGCTGAGGTCACCTTCCTATTAAAAACATCTGAAAAATCCATATAGCCCCAGAATGCCGCGGTATGGCCGAGAGTTAGGAAAACCAGCTCTTCCTCTCTAAATACTCGCACATGGCCACGTGCATACAACTACTGTCAGGGAAGTCCTACTCACTGCCTTCTCTCAGTACTGCTGTTGTCTACAAAATTGAGAGGGCGAAAAGCGAATGTCTAATGCTTTAACCAAGTTGATGGATACGGAGTATTCACTTAAGGGAATCGGAAAACCCTGATTCCAAACCAATGATGAACATGGGTCCCAGGATCCTAAGAAAACAAATGGTGTATGTCAGTCTTGAGTGCTGTTAGAGGTATGAGAGCGGTTATCACTTTCCGGTTGCCCACACGGTGGAAGGGTTCCTCTGGAGGTACCTGTAAAGGAAATCGGATTAGAGGTGGTCTTAGTGACCGCAGTGCCCATGGGACAACTGCTTGAGGTCGGTCACACACGACCTTTTTATGGGTAATTTTTGTGTTGGCTCCGTACTTGTTGAGACCTTACTGCTGAAGACGGATATCCGTGGGATAGGGCGAGGTGTACATTTTTAAGGTCGACCTTTTCTAACCCCACCCCTCCTTGTGAGAAGGCAGCATCACTGTCATGCTGGTTGTCTGAAGGAAACACCTTACTGCTGTCACAACTCTCTACAGCCAGCAGTACGACTTCGCCTTCGGACCTTAGGTTTGTTGATTTTAGTTTTACCGTCCTTCAACCGACTTGTCTGACATGGTAGGACCTTGAGTAACAGTTGTTCCAGCCAATATAGCTCGGTTGCTTCATCACGATAGGTAAACCCGACTACCACTTCAAGGTAGCAACAACGTTCGGGAAACAGCGTATGAACCTATTGTTGGTCACTGACTACTACAGAAATGCATCTCCTGACATTGCTCCACTGTCTATCTATTTGGTGCCTTCTTGTATCAACGTTTATGTGAATAATTATCAAATATTTTGTGAAAATTTTCATTCCATCATCATCATCATCATCATCAACAACAACAAAAACCATATAAGGTAATTAAAATTATATTCAGACATTAGACAGATATTTTACTTCAAATTCATAATTATAAAGAATTAAATTGTACTTTTTTTTACCGTTATCGTTGATTATCATCCAATTCACAAGATCAATAAAAGAACAACAACAACAACAAAAGCAAACAAAGAAAAAATTATTAACTAATTTAAATTCAAAGGTAAGTTTTAGTCAAATTAGGTAATTTAAATAATAATTTACTAAGAAACACGAAGCCATAATAATTATTAGGGTAATAAGGCATTACGGTGTTCAATTTGTGCAGGGGTGGGGGATGAGGGTGGGAAAAACACAATGTATAGTTGATAGTTGTTTGCTCCATTCAAACATCATTGTTACAACTTGATGACATATATTATATAATAATAATAAATGGGAATAATATTGCTTATAGACGTAAAAGGAGTAGAATCAGAATACAGTATTATAAATAATGTTAGTGAATATACTTTAATTCTTTGAATAGAAAACAAACAAACAAACGATTGAAAGAAGCATTAATCGGTCAATACAGAAGTACACTTATGTGTGCAATATCTGTGTAACATGCAAATCTGTTCAGTTAACAACTATTAACAATATAAATAATCATCATCATAATAATAGTAAACAGTTGATTTTCTTGTTTAGCAAAGCGAAATACTAACGAAACAAAGAACAATACTGTATGTATAGTGAATACTTTCCAATGGTGAATGTTTATTTTAGTCACTCTTAAAGTCAAAAAAGAAAAAAAAAGAAAAACATGCGAAAAGAAATTTCGGAAAAGCCTAGGGTAAAAGAAAAATAAAACTATGAAGGATTAAAGCAATGCAAATTGTTTTGTAATAGGCATTTGTAAATTAGATGTTTTACTGGTGTGTTTTTTTGGAACCATTCACCTTCCCCCCCTTATATATGTAAATATATATTGGTGTATAATACTTTATTGTAATGATTACATTCATGCAAAGAAATATCTATTATTATTCATTTAAAAGTACAATTATAAGCGTGTAATTATCATCAAATTTGTTATGTTGTCATGAAGGATACTAAATTGGTAGTTGGATAAATTGTAATACAGTTGACTTTTTTTTAAAAAAAAACACAACAACATTTGATTGAATTAGATAACATCAACAGTGAATGGACTTCCTGGTACATGTTGTTCACCCCATTTAATCATAATTAAATGACGACCACGATCACGTACAGTATAACTAATTGAATATTGACCATAACCCATATGTTTGATATTGACTTCTTCACAGGCTACAACTGGTCCAGATACTCCAACATATAGTACATCATGACCTAAAATGTTTTTTTTTTGTTTTTAAGAAAATAAATGACAAGAAAATGTAATGAAAATTTAATTTATGCACAGTGGTTTTAAACATTGTAATACAAGTATCAATCGAAATTCATTTATATCAAAAGGGGTTTTGTGGAAATTGTAGTAATTTCAATAGCTGAGATCATGAGTCAATTGAAGCTAGACACTAGGTCATGGGTTTGAATCCCGAGAGGCGGAATTGTGGATGAGCACTGCTGAGGAGTCTCATAATAAGAAGAAACGGCCGTCCAATTCTTCCAGATTTTCCATGGTGATCTAACTTCAATTGATTCATGATCTCAACTATCGAGATTCATTTGTGTTTGATGATTCACCTTGATTAAGATTTTAATTTAGCTCAACTTAATAAGCTTACTATTTATTGTATCAGATTTCTATTCAAGCTAAGTAAATATGATAAGCTGCTGATCGTTATCATTTAGATAACTATTATCATTCAGTTCTTCAGTCTGGACACCCGGTCAGTATAATAGCACGCATACAAATCAAGTGAATTTTGTGGTGCATATGTATTCGGTGCCCTTTTGTACCAATATTTGTGTTCAGATGAATAAATATCATTGACACTCAATTCATTATAAATTTTTGTGACTCAATTAAGCTCTGTTCACATACATTTATGTTTCATGTAACGTAGTGGTGTACTGAACAAGAACACCAGTGAGGTGAAACGAATGTATTTGGGCACAAAATTACAGAACATCTCACTAAATAGTTAATTCGCAAAATATCAATCCATCGTCTCAAACTTCATTGTTCCTTTTGCAAATATCAGTCCATTGTCTCAGACTTCATCGCTCATGCATTTTCATACCACTTGCGTACCGTTTCCGTTCTTTCCTTATCTATCTTCTACTGAAATACATTCTATGCCTGACCACCGTTATATACTACTGATATGGATATAAGTAACGCACACCAAAGTATTAGTGAGTTATGTAACTATAATCGGTCCTTTTATTTAAATTGTAATATTACAAATCCAGAATACATAATAATACAATCTTATAATGCATAAATGAATCTACATTACATGAGTACATGGATTAGAAATTATAACATACTATTCTGAACAGAAAAGCAACTAGCGTGTTCTACTTTAGATAAAGCAGTATCTATTCACCTAAATTGCTTGCTATTAGGTGTTAATCATTTTATTTTCTAAGCCTTAATAATATATAGGTGTGAATAATGTTTTGCCAAAAGGAGTTAAAACTTATCAATGATCTACTGAGTTATAGTAGATCTTCATCAAAGTTCCTAATGTAACATATATCCATAACAAAAGCTTAAGTGAAAGAAACTTTTCCTGAAAGTCTTATAACCAATGATACGACGTAAAAGAAAACCCTCAGAAATAGCATGCAACACAGTAACACTTTTTTTCATTTAAGCAGTAAGGAATTCATGAAATAACGATAAGCTACCTAGTTCCACCACCTATATGTGTATTGTTGGATGCGCAATATTATGAATTGCTTAAACCGTTACATCCCAATCGCGCTCCACCCACTTTAGTTTAGGAAGTGGGATAATGCCATCAGACCTCATCCTTATAGTGTCGCTCATACCAAAAGGAACTGGTGAGTTACTTAAAAAATTAACTCAATGATGTCAACGTTAAAGCTTCTCCTTGAAGCTTGAAGGCCCTGAATTTAATCTCTAGACGGATGGCAGATACATACCAATAAGGAATTCCATACTACAGTAAAAACGGCTTCCCAATACATCTTGGTTTTTACTTAGAACCTAACTAAAATCAGTTAATGATGTAAACAATAAAAATCATGAGTTCCCAAAAAATATGTTAAACAAAATAAAAATTACATATTTAATGTATCATCCAAATTACCTGCTTGTGATGCATTAACTGTAAATGTATTCGTTTCATTAAGATATGCTTGTTTAAGTCCTGGTCCAGAGCATGTAACACGATCTGGTCTAGATGGACCAAGATTAGAATGTGGTCCATTAATTAAACGTCCTCCTGTTTCTACAACAACATGTGTTGTATCAGTTGTGATTGTATCGTGTACAGCATCTCCTGTAACAATTGCCTATTTAATAAAATATGTTAAATGAACCATCATTGTTCGGTTTTGTTATTGATCAAATATCATGATACCATTTTTTTTCTTGTTATGACGTAACATTATCGTTTACAAGTTTATACAATTCTATCTTTGAAGTTGTTCATACAGATAAATATGATAAAGGTCAAAATTAATCTTCGTGGTTTATTGTAGGTTAAAATGATGATCTGTTAATAAAAGTAGTACTGGTTATCTTTGTTTTTCATCATTAACACAATCATTGAATGTTGAAGAAAACGGTTTATTTTAATATACTATTTGTTAGAAGGGGTTTTGTGGCGATTCTAGTAATTTCAACAGTTGAGATCATGAGTCAATTGAAGCTAGACCACTACTATGGAAAACCTGGAAGCACTGGATGGCTGTTTCGTCCTATTGTGGGACTTCTTAGCAGTGCTCATCCACGACCCCGCCTCGCGGGATTCGAACCTAGGACCTATTAGTTTCACGTTTTCGTTTCGATAAAAGACTATAAAACAGTATGTGGTACTGGGAGACTAGGTATCTTTATTGATAAATTTAAAGATATTATACATATCAGTCAGTCAGTCAGTCAGTAACAACGTAGAACTTCGTACGTACGTACATCAGTTAGAGTTGCCATACCACCTTAACACAGAGATGCAGTTGTAGATTCAAATCCCGTAGTGGTAGAGGCGGTAAGAGTATAAGCAGTAATCGGAATGATTAGGGTTTGGAGATGTTATTTGAAGAGTATAATCCAGTGAAATAAATTTGGAAAGAGAAAAAAAAGACAAGGAGGTTTCAGGAGATTAGAATTTGGGAGAACACAAAGAGTGGATGCACCTGCGTCATTGCAAACGATTTTGAGCCATGTCATTCAGGGTATCTAACCATCAGTTGCTATCATTTCGTAGTCCCCAACCAGGTAGTCTACACCTACCAACATGACTCAATCCACTTGTCAGCGATTTCATGGACTTGTGCCATGTTTTGGTTTGGCCGCCCCTACCTTTCTTCAAATCTACTCCTATGCAGCAAAACATCGCACGTCGAGGCAGTCGGTCGTTGGGCATACGTAACACTTGTCTCAGCCATCTCAACTGATGAAGTTTCACTACTTCATCAATTGATTTGCCATCTTTATCTAGTACCCGTGTCCTAACAACTGTGTTACTTACTCGATGGTCCCAGGATATACGAGCAATGTTTCGAAGACACCTATGATCGAATACTAGTAACCTACGAATATCCTCTACTCTTACAGGCTGTTTTACTACCATTATACATATATTGAGTCTCAATAATGGGATAAAACACTCGTGAAGTGACCAGTGCTATTTTTTTCCTCTTTGATTTCTCATCTTTGTTTATAGTGCTTGATATATTCGGTTGTTAAAATAAAATTTTTTATTGTTTATTATTATTGTGACTTGCATCGGTGAATTTACTTGATACCAAAGTGGAAGGCAGTCATGGATGGTGTAGATTTCAGTGTTTGTCTAGCTTATTAGTTTCAACTGATTAAGTCAGCCAGCTATTCTTATACCATGTTAGGCGTTTGAATTTAGTCGTTAGGAAACTGTGCCACTAAGTTTCGTGCTAGTTGGCACTCATCAGCATGGAGTAAATACAAATGTTTGGTAACCAATGTTCCCTGTAGATTCGAACCCATGTCATTCAGCTTCAAAATCTGCGACATTACTACTAAGCAATGGTTTCCAACTGCAGATCATCATAATACACACAATAGCAAGTCCTTTGGACTAATATCCACATCACGTCTAAGCAATAAAGTAATATAATTTATACAAGTGATCTAGTTACGCAGGATCATAAGGATCAATTATTCATCTTGGAAAGTTTCTAATGGTCTAATGTTGGTCATCTATAACGTTAGATAAATGGATTAATCAAATAAATTATGTCTATCTTCTAACAGAATAATTAAATACTTAGACAAACTGTGAATACTTTGCTAAGATCGGTCAAAACAGTAAACTCAGATGACCATAAATTAATATAATTGTGATGTTTGAGTGACCAGGAAAATTGAGTTATTGAATGAACTTATTGTTATCACAATTGTAGATAAACGTTCTAGGGTTTTCTAAAAACAAAAACATAAATGGTGGTGTTTTTTCATCACTAGATGCAATTTCATGATCATGCCTTTTACTACTCAGCGCCTTTAGATAATCGGGGGTCAGGTATGAACCAAGTTAATTATGAATCTTTTATAATTAAAAAAAGCTTACTTTATATGGTGAACCTATAATATGTTGTGAATCACCATATTTAATACTGATAAGATATTCACCAGGCGATAATGGCAAATAAGTGAAATCGTATCCATCTGACCGTTCAGTACAATTTAGTTGAACTTTACTAGGACCATCCACAGTAACTGATAAAGCACCACTTCCAGCTTGAACAGTATTTACGAAAAATCGATTGCGTTCACCTGAGTAAGATAAGTAGACAAATGATATTAAATTGATGGGTATATGAATAATTGGGTCTTTTTATAGAAAGAGAGAAGGTTATATGAAATTAATTTTTGTTCACGGAAAGTGAGTAAACCTTGGGTCTCTTCAACTTAATTCACATCCATAAACAAAGAATATGTTATTATTTACATGAATGATCTTCACTATATCTTCTGGCTTCAGATATAGAAGGGAATGAAAGAAACGTTTGACAAAAAATACGTTGTTTTCTATATCGTTCTAGATGACGTATAGTGAATATACTAAATAATTTATTAAATCATTAAACCATTAGACTGAATTTTCCAACAGATCTTTACTTCAGTCTTGATTCCTATGGTTTATTATATTCCTTATAGAAATAATAACAGTCCGAATGACGAAAATGGAAATTCTCTGTAGTGTATTTCTTGAAGCCTTATTAGTACCAAATGTTTGTTTTATGAACCAGTAAATCAACTAAATCTAAGATATAAGAATGAGAAATTTAGTCATATTTATTGCAGTAAGGATATCTGAAGCTATTTACCAAGCAGTTTCATTAAGTGCCTTAAATTATTCGGCTCATTCTTGCTATTACTGTAAAACTGATGAAACAGGAAGGTATTTTTTTTATAAAAAAACCATGTTACTACTTACTATATTTAAGTAATGTAAAATATGTGTCAAAACTATGATGTTTAGCTTAGTTCGGTTGGTGATTTCAATAAAACTAAGATAAATTAAGTGGTTGTAAAAAAAACCTCTCCAATAAGAATAAGTTTTTAACCACAGTATCCTTAATGAGTATCAATTCCTGATAAGTGAATATATTTAACATACCAACACGTCCATGAGTCAAACCTTCCCCACTGGCTGTAACATGACCAGTTTCTTCTTGTCCAACTAATACACGGAATGGACTTCCAGGTACTGGACGTTCATCCATTAGTACATGCACCAAATGTGCTCCATTTTCATGAGGTGTAAATCGTACTGCGTGCTGATCAACATCCACTTGGTGTACAAGTGCATCTGACTGTATTCCAGATGGAGCTACTACATATGCTCTCATTCTACCTGTCATTCCCGAGTAATTAACTGTGAATGCTGTTGGACGCCCAATCTATAAAGAAAACAACAGGAACAATAATATATATGAAAAAGTGGAAAATTTTCAACTTGATGGATTGTCCTTAGATTCCATTGATTTTACCAATATAAATCACTGAAACTAAAAGAAAGGTTAAACGTGATACTGGTATTTAGGCGTTGACAACACTGTTGTCCATAACTTCTTTGTAATCGAGGATCCCAAAGCCATTCAAACCGGAAGTCAGGAATCAAGGGGTTCGGATATATATATTTGGAAGATGGTTGATGCGTTGAGATGCGCGGCACGGTGTACCCAGTGAGGATGCCTAATCGAGCGTCATCAGTTAGGTTTATTTACCGCTACACGATTTTTCTCAAGATGTATAAACGGAAAATATTTTAGACTTTCAAACCGTTAAGGTTATTATTTTGTCACTAATTTCTCTTCTGACGTCACAGTGATTACAGTATGTTTACTACACTCCTTTTCGATACATTGATTAATAACTTTTCCAGTTTACTATCAACCTGAAAAAGTGATAAGCACGGTAAAAATCTGTTTTTAAAGAGAGAAAAATATGTCCATAGTTTTGGCCTTGGTAAATTGAGTCTAAAAGGTAGACGTCAATTTGAGATATTATATTTCGTTTCATATGACTAAATTGTCAAATAGAGCTTTTCTGGTTACGAAAATGAAGTCACAAGACTTTATTTGACAACTTGTATGGATTATGTTCTATATATCATTACGTAAAATTTTTGTTGTGAAGAGTTTACTTTATGGTTAACAAGCTTGATAAGACAATAAGTATAACCTTTGTTACAGAAATAACCAATAACATTGTGTTACTAATCATCATTTAATTCCCACATACAATCAGATGGATACCCGTATAGCGAATTTTTTGAGATCGCTGTTTGTTATTTAGATCATAAACCTATTAATTATTAGCAGTAATTCCTAAAAGTCTCCATTCTGAAGCCGTGACCACTTGGGTTCAGCAATATAGGGGTTAAGATAGTTATCTATTGAAGACAATTGTAGATATACATGTAAACCATTAGGGGTGATCCGTAAGACCTGAAAGTCTTGGGTTCAATCTCCAGTGGGATAATGGACTCGCATTTATCTAGAGTCTCATAATAAGATAAAATAGTTGTCTGTTGCGTTCTAATACTTAATGGATCCTTAACTTAGGTCGGTTTGTAATCTCAAAGCCATTCAAATAAATACGTTTTGTACGTTCTAAACCAACATTCAGATGCTTTTTACCACAAAAAGATGATTGGAATGTAAATGTTACACTTCGAAATTTTGCTTTTTATGTAATGAAATAATGACACTTTGACATTTAAGTGAATTTTAGTCTTAAAAGAGATTAGTATATTTAGCAAATAGTTGATTTTAAGTGGGGAGTATAACTACAAGGGGGTAGTTATTAAGAAATATGTTGCTATATAAAAGATTTTCAAGGTTAAAATCATTAGCCTAATTGTCATTATTCTAACATACAGGAATTTTATTACTGTATATATAAAAGTGAGTTGATACACCTGAAATCATACTTGATTTTAATTTGGATATTAGACCAGTGATTAAATTACTGAACTATCGACCTTTGGGATCAATGATCCTAAACTCTCTTCACATATTTCAATTTGGTCAACTCAATAATACCATCAAACTTTAAAAAAAAGAACGATTTATAACTCAAAGCCACGTACGAAAGGTCATTTTTTTAGTGAAGACAATGGTAGATGTGTCGCTCAATTTCGTGGATTAGTTGAAGTTGGACTTTAACTCCGTCGAAATCCAATCAGCTCAGTGGTCTAGTTAGTTAAGCGCTTGGCACGAGACCGGTAGGTCCTGGGTTCGAGTCCTGCGAGGCGGTGGATGCGCACTGCTGAGGAGTCCCACAATAGGACGAAACGGCCTTCCAGTGCTTCCAGGTTTTCCATGGTGGTCTAGCTTCAACTGACTCATGATCTCAACTGTTGAAATTACTACAATCTCCACAAAACCCCTTCTGATACATGTTTGGTTGTAAGCAGCTTGTAGTGACCTACTTTTATCAAGAGAACGCGATTGGTTTAATGGAAACAATTATTATTATAACCAATTGTACTAGTGATTGTTTTACTGTACTTCTTTGTTTAACTGTACTAAAGACATTCTTCCTTCGGTTGATTGTGAACTTACACGCACTTACGTTTGCTCAGTTATTCCGCTTGTACCCTTTCGGTATTCTTTCGACACCACGAGATCGCCAGCAAATATATCTTGCTACAACCTCCAATCGCTTTCTGATATCTGGTACTCAACCTTCTTGTAGTGGTGATCATAGTCAATCTCGACTCGACCCCACAATACAAGCTGATGAGAAACCACAAAATATAATGAATTCATATTATTCTACATCAATATTTGTTCTGGCTTTATTTAAAGGAACTAATTGTATGAAAAAAATTGTTTTTCCGAATTACTTACCGACAGACCACGATCTTGAATACTTGTAATATTTAATAATTTAGTTTCAGGTGTATAGAATGTTCGTTCCATTGCTTCATTTATGATAACACGAAATGGTGAATTCGGTATATGATCATCATTGAAGCGAATAGAGCATAAATATTCACCTGGTTCAGTTACACGATAAGAAACTCCACATGAACCATCTTTCCTATCCTTTAGAAGATACAAGAAAATTGTTATTGAACATATTTTAAAACGATATTGAAAAATTTTTGCAAAGAATAATCTGTTATGTATAAAAACAAAGTTCATGGAAGTTTAGGGTTTTGTGGAGATTATAGAATCCTCATGATTGAACCATATCAGTTGTGTGGGATAGTCATCCATCAGATGCAATGGAAGATGGTCGCATAATATCTCAAATTGACTGACGTTAGAGGTGTACACTATTGAATGCAGGCCTAGTGGTTTAGAGATTAAGAGCTCGGGCAAAAAATCAAAAGTCCCAGATTTGATCCTCTGTGACTGGATCTTGAGTCCGCACTTCTGGGAGTCTCATACTTGGACGAAACAACTCTCCAGGGTTTCCTTTTATCCATTGGTGGTTTAGCTAAAATCTGTTCATGTTGTACCATTGATACGATGCCCTAAGATTAGACCTAACAATGGAGTCTTCACTGATTGGATAATGATTGACCTATAAACTAATCCCCTTCAATAGCTGATGACATTTTACCATGCTTATTTTGTGTTTATGTTCTGTATGTAAGCTAGTAATAAGTCAGCTAAATTCGATGAAGCATGGAAATAGCTTGAAATACATGAGGTGGAAGTCATAGTAATGGATGTATAAAAATGTTTATATAATAGTTTATTTTATCCAACAATCAATATCCACGTATGGATGAGGGTTTTTAGCTCTTAATTAACTCCAGTTGCATAATGACAAGTGAAATATAAGAGTTTATGCAGTGAATCAATCGTGTTACTAATAACAGAATAAAATAAGCCAAGTAAGAAATATGTTTAGAACATGTATATTTCATTCATTTGAATGTTAGGTGACAGATAAACAATAAAAGGTGCTCTGAACAGATAGCCCATCGTAGTTGACAAGACACAGAACCCTTGAATATTATGTGACTTTCATTTTAAAAAGAATATACGAAATACTAGTAAGTGTGTAGACAAGTACGTACTACAATGAGTCCGTGTATTGAAACACTAAAGCTTACAAGGGAATAATTAGCGAATCTAAATCTAAAACATTATACAGAAGAATCAATAGGTTCGAAATAACTGGTCTGCCTTGAAGACAGTATAATTTACGCAAGGATCATTTTAGTCTTTCAATTTCACCGTTGAAATTTCACACGTCAACAACCCGATATCGATTGTCTAACTCACTCCATAATGATCGGCCTAAATTGAAGGAATAAAATGGTAAAAAAACGTGGCTAGGAAAACAAATGTTCGTTTTTTAGCTCAAACAATATTCTAAATCAACAGTGTTCTAATGAGAACTGAAGCCTAGTCAAAAGTCAGACTTCGTAGCATTCTCAACATAACATGTAGTTAGTTTAAATGTTATCTAAAAAGTATCTTAATGAAACGCCCCCCCTCCTCAGTGATCTGGTACGTTCGAAGGTTGGAAGAATCATTTCTCCCTCTCCAAATACTCTTACATGGCCACACCAATACAGTCACTATCAGGGAAGTGCTGCTCACTTTCTTCTCGACGCAAGGATACTTTTTATTGAATTAAGAGGACCAAAAGTGAATGTCTGGTGCTTCAACCGGGATGAAGAATATGGAGGAGCTATCTAGGGAGTAAAAGAACTCTGATTTCAAACCAAATGGTGTACATGGGTTCCATGATCCTGAAGGAACAAATGATTTATGAACCTATTGCTGGTCACTGTGTACCATGGTACTGCATCTTCTTACGTTGCTCAATTGATATCATAATACCTTGATATAAGTATTTCTCTCATATAGTCAAATTATTCACTACCTTACATTTATTATTAATAATAAATTGTATCATAACTAACTTCGAAATTGATTTCAGCTTTACTTGGTCCTTCAATAGCAATTGATAAACCACCTGCACCAGCTTCACGAGTATAAATACTAAAATCATTTAATGAATAAGTTAAACCATTTTGCAATCCTTGACCGGTAGCATGTACTTTATGAGCTCCACCTTCTGTAATAGGACCAACAGTAAATTGAAATGGACTTCCTAGAAAACAAATGAAAAATGATTCACATTGTAGATTGAGAAATATTATTAGTTTTGAATTGACTATAAATAAATATACATATATATATGTTTTTTACTTACCAGAAATATGAGATCCTCGATGACGTACTGAAACAGTATGTACACCCATTTCTTGTGGTACAAATTTAATGGTGTAATTCACATCATCCATAGCTAAGACATCACATCGTTGACTTACTCCTGATGGACTAGTTACATTAGCTGTCAAATCACGAATATTTATTCCTGATATATGAAAAAATAATGAAACACGTTTTTAAAAAACAAACGTTATTTTCAAAATAACTAGATCTTAAACGAAGCATTCATAGTATGGAATTGTGATAAATAGATTACGCTTGAAGTGGAATTTCATAATAATTAGTCAATATATAGACATTAACACCCGTGGATGCTGGCTCAATGGTCTAGTTGGTTAAGCGCTTGACGCGGAGCTGATAGGTCCTGCGTTCGAATCCCGCAGGGTGCGGGATCGTGGATGCGCGTTGCTGGGGAGTCCCACACTGGGACGAAACGGCCGTCCAGTGCTTCCAGGTTTTTCATGGTAGTCTAGCTTCAATTGACTCATGATTTCAATCTGTGAACTTTCTAAAATCTTCACAAACCCCTTCTGACAATATATAATCAGTTGACGAGTCTATAATTTATGGATGAACCAATCAGATTTAGGACAACAGGTCTCAGATTTCGGCGCGAAATTCACTCATTCATTTGTTCAAATAGTGTCTTGGTATTTTAGCTGATGTCAGTTCGTGATAAAAACCATAAATCTAAATCCTAACCGTTACCATCAACTGTAAATCATTATCTTAATTCTTCAGACTGCTTTATAACTTTCATTTAGCCCTATTAAGTAGGTAGATACTTTTAAGGTCACCTTGGCATCGCTCAAAAGTCGCCTATAAATTATGGTCTCATCGGTGATCGTTGCTGTGCGCTATTATTGTTAATTCAACTTTTACTTCTCCTTTCTTATTATAACAACTATCTTACAACGAATTTCGATTATGGTTAATTTTGGTTAAGCCTTTTTATTATTATTCTGTATTATATATATCATTTATTCTGATTATTAATCAAAAAGGGGTGTACAAACCAATATATAAATGAGTGTGTTTCCGACAAGACGGGTTGGGAACGCTCATACTTCTGGATAATTCCCCGCTCCAAATTTCAACTACTCTCTCTAGTTAGCGGAGTCGTGACACATCAGAATATCTAGCTTATTGGTCTTTGATTATAGAGTCTTAGTTCCGTTCGCAGACTAGGTGAACTTGTAATCACATTTTGCCAAAGAACTCTGTAATTTTGTAATGAAATACATTTTACTATCCCCATTTGTGTTCTCGTTCATTACAATACTACTGAACAGTTATTTTATTTCTGAATATGTTCTTATTTAGGGTCGGTCGTCGTGACCAATCGTTACTTATTCATTCTTACATTATTTCAAACAAGCAATAACGTAGTCATAAGTAGACAATATTTCTCCTTTGTAACAAAGTTGAAGTAACTTAGAGTAAACAAATAACACACACACACACACACACTTTTTTCAGTCTCTTTAGATAGTCTACTTATTATAATTAGTAATAATGATTTATCATAAAGTTATACATACTCTCTCTCTCCCTCATTTGAGTATTCAAAAATATACAAGAGAACTAATTGAGTTTGGGACCAGAGATTTTAATAATTAAAATCTTAAACAAAGAAAATTCAAGCTGAGGGAAATGGAGGTAAATATGAAAGCTTAGCGTGAATCTAAGTAAAAGAAAAATAGTAGAAAAACATCAGCGAAATTATTGACGTGAGAAAGAATAATCTTTTTTTGTTTTGTTTTGAAAATACTGATTTTCTAGTCAAACTACCTTGTGCTTTTTATAAATAGATAGTTATTTTCAATAGTTGAATTCATGAGTCAATTGGAGATAGACCACCATGGAAAACCTGGAAGCATTGGACGGGCCTGTACGGGAATTTTCAACAGTGCGCATCCACGATCTGACCTTGCGAGCTTTGAACCTAGGATTTATCAGACGCGCGCGCGAGCGTTTAACTTTTGTTGTGAAACAGTAACTCATTGAAGACAATGGTGGACGGTGGCGCAATTTCATGAATTGATTGAAGTTAGACATTAACATCATCGTATACCAGCCAGCTCAGTGATCTAGAGGTTAAGCGTTTGCGTTCGAGATCGATACATCCTGGGTTCGAAGCTCACGGGGGGGGCAGGATTGTGGATGCGTGTTGCTGAGGAGCCACATACGAGGATGAAACGGTCCTCCAGTGCTTCTGGGTTTTCTATGGTGATCTAGCTTCAATTAAGTTATGAATTCAACTACTAAATTATTAAATTACTTCCTGATGAACAAAACTGTTAGGTTCGTTAAGCTTGAATGCTACTGTTGATTCGGCTTATTGGGAACGGAACGAAGTATCAGAGACTCAATAGGCTATTCTGGTCCGTCGTCCCCGACCCAGCTAACTTGATCAACAATAAAAAAATTATGGATAAATAGTTTGATAAATAGTTTTCAAATAATTTCTGATCGACTAAAGTATCACTAGTGTATAGTTTGAGTGTCAAGTAAAGACTTTAGTTTATAATTCCAACAACTGGTGTTTATTACGTCTAAAATCATAGAATATAACTCAGGTATGTATCATATTTTCTCAGTCGATGTTTAACTTCATTCAAGTTGGGTGAATGAGATTTAAAAAAGTGAAACTTAAAACAGATTAGAGCACTACATTACATGAGCTCATAGAATAACATGTCACTAGTTTAATATCTGATTGAAAATATAGGAGTAGAAGAAGTAATAAACTATCCTTATTCTCCACCAATATTATTCTAATTTGGTTTTGTTATTCTTTTTAAACCATTTAATCTAAAAAGTTGGTGAGATATCAATGAGAAGCTTTCTAATTGAACACTTTGTGAACATGGATCATTCATTCAAAATAGATTCAGAATTCAAAAACATCTATCAGGTGAATAAAAACCTAATAAAGAAGCCTTTGTTATACGGTCAAAACAGTTTGAACTATACATACTAAAGCAAATTGTCAAATCAATTTTCTAACACTATTACCACTCATTTTATCCACCTTCTTTATTGACAGTGAGGCTATAATTTATGGACGACCTATGCGTGACGCTAAACTGCCCTTGAGAGTGTCCACTTAAAAACTAGGACTAAATGAGTATTATAAACCTGTGTGAGGAATTAGAATCATGATTTAGAGTTGATGATTAAGGTTAGGAATTATATTTCGGATTTTTCATTACGAACTGACATAAGCTATAATCCCGAAACTCTGTTTATTCAAATAGATGAATGAATTTCGCGCTAAAACCCGAGACCTGTTGTTTTATACCTGATTGGTTCGTCCATAAACTATAGTCTTGCCACATTATGTTCTTCTGTCTACCTTGTTTTGGTGTTGAAAACACAAGCATCTACTTCTATATTAATAAAAATGATCATAGAATAATATGTAAGTTAAGAATTCACAAACAAATCACTGTTGGTTCATTGTACTATAAAATGATTCATTTAGTTTATTATCGATAATTGTTATTTACCTGGAATTTTTAAATTTAATTCACATTGACTGCCTACATATGTTGCATCAGCAAGTTCTCTTTGTCGTGTAATTCTTTCCATCATTCTAAGTGATGGTTCACCACCAATATGAACTACAAAAGGACTGCCTGGTACTGGTTGTTCAGCGTATTTAACATTAATTATATATGTTCCAGGTTCAGTTGGACGATATGTAACCAAACATGTACCATCTTGATTATCATGGCATTCAATATCTGCTTTACTTGGTCCTTCAATTGATAGATTCAAGCCACCGTAGCCTAGGAGTTGTAAAAAAACATCATTTAAGCATTTCATTTGAAAGTTAAATTGTATGTAATGTGTTTAATAGAATACTTTGTCCCGGTTTATTGTTTGTTTATTGCTTCATTTCATATCTACATACAAGTATTTGCCCGTTTGTTATTCACTTTCCTCCCTCTACCTAACACCATCAATTCATTCATTACATAAATTTCCTTGAAAATAACTTGATATCAATTAATTTATTAAACTACTCATTCTTGTACATACATTTTTGAATATCAGTAGTTTATACTTAAAATGTTATTTCGGCGGAATACGGATATATGCTTGACCCGCCTGTATTACTGGTAAAAATTGAAATGTACTTAAACGATCATGATTAGGTTCTTTTCTGAACTAGGATTATCCAGTTGCTCAGAGAGGGAGAGAGAGATAGAAGCAGATCAGGTCAATTTAAACCAGTATCTCAAATTTTGAAGCTCAAACAAACTATGTAATTAGTTTGAGGCATAAAATCTATAGCTCCGAGGCCAATGATGACAACAGAAACTTTTAAATTAAATTATCTACCCTGTAGTGACGGGTATTATGTTAAGACTATATATCTTGTTCTGGCATTCGAACAGCCCATTCTATTCATTCTACTTGAGCCACATTTTGACCTTGTTAATTATTCGCTTATCAATCTTCGCTGTTTTTATGTGAGCGCATGTGTGTGTGCATTTCTTACCGCATTACTCATCACATGTCTGTAACTTACTTTTGTGTAACTATAAATATTGATTAACGCTTGACTAAATAGGAGTTGGCTTACCCTCCATCTCCACTGCGCGTCGTCTCTCTTCTCTCTATTCTGTTCGGTGCATATACAAAATATATGTATTCAAAATTCCATTCTCTTTATTTGACTTATTTAATTCCGTTATTGACTAATACAATTTAAGTCGATGATTATGTACGAGGATAGGCGATAACAAACATTCATACGATTTACTTGGAGTCAGATCTCGTGCCACTAAAGTGGAGAGCCCTTCAACAAACATCATCCGATCTGAATGACGATAAAATAACGGGCCCCATAACCTCAGAGAACACGACTTCTAAAATTTTTATTCTCAGAAGCCATATCCCTAGAGGAAAATTTACTACTTTTCGAGATCTAATAACAACTGTTAAAAAAGATTTTCATCTAGACCATTACACCAAATGTATTCGTAGAACCACCAAAATGGCATCAAGATTGAGTTTGAAGTTTTCTTCATCTCCATCTTGAATTACTTTAAAACATAAATTTTATGGTTCGATTTCTAAATAATCAAAATCGAATGGAGATAACCATTAAAAGTTATTCAGATGATGGCTTAGATAAACTAGTTCACTAATTAGGATACTAATATGGGAGTATTTTATGAGTATTTATGAGTATTTTAACTGTAGGAACTGATGGCAGCTGGAAAACTGTCAAAAACCATAGACCATAAGACTCTCTCTAATACGATACTAGCTACGTTAATAGTGTTTAACTAATAACAAATACTAACGATAATGTATGCTTTTTAAACTAATTATTCTACGTCATGTGAATGGATAATTTTACTACCTGAAATTTCATTGCTAAAGATTCTATTTCATGTCTACAAAAGTTAATAGGATTTCTGGATTTTCTTACTAATAAACAAATTGTTCAAAGACTCTTCAATAGTGAAATCAATCTTGAACTACTTTTACCCCCTAATGATTAACATTTTGTACATTACCTCTGTTACTCCTCGTGAAGGAGCATAGGCCAACCACCAGCATCCTCCATCCAACCCTGTCCTGGCCAGTCCTGTCTAACTCCTTCCAGTTGTTATTCATCCTTTTCATATCTGGTTCTATTTTCCAACGTAATGTGTTCTTTGACCTTCCTCTTTTCTTTTCCCTTCAAGATTCCAAGTTAGGGCTTGGCTCGTGATGTAGTTTAGTGATTTCCGTAATGTACGTCCTATCCATTTCCATCGACCTTTCCTAATTTCATCTTCAGCTGGAAGCTGGTTTGTTCTCTCCCACAATACACTGTTTCTGATGGCATCTGGCCAATGGATGTTGAGTATCTTGCGAAGGCAGCTATTTATAAATACTTGTACCTTCTTGATGGTGGTTGTTGTAGTTCTTCAAGTTTCAGTTCCGTACAGTAGAACCGACTGTCTTGACATTCGTATTGAAGATTCTCACTTTGATATTGGTTGAAAGTTGTTTTGAGTTCCATATGTTCTTCAGTTGTAAGAATGCGACCCTTGCTTTGCCAATCCTCGCCTTGACGTCTGCATCTGAACCTCCTTGTTCATCGATGATGCTTCCCAGGTATGTGAAGGATTCTACATCTTCCAGAGTTTCGCCATCAAGTGTGATTGAGTTGCTGTTCTCCGTGTTGTATTTGAGGACCTTGGTTTTCCCCTTGTGTATGTTGAGGCCTACTGATGCAGAGACTGCTGCCACACTGGCTGTCTTTGTCTGCATCTGTTCGTGTGTATGGGATAGGAGGACTAAGTCATCTGCTAAGTCCAAATCGTCTAATTGCTTTTGAGCTGTCCATTGTATTCCATGTTTTCCTTCAGATGTCGAGGTCCTCATAATCCAGTCGACCATCAGAAGAAAGAGGAAGGGAGAGAGTAAACAGCCTTGTCTGACTCCGGTCCTTATTTGAACTGCATCTGTCAGCTGTCCTCCATGAACTACTTTGCACTGTAGTCCGTCGTATGAGTTCCGGATAATGTTGACAATCTTCCCAAGAATTCCGTAGTGTCGAGGAAGTTTCCATAACGTCCTCCTATCTACACTGTCAAATGCTTTTTCATAATCACTCAACTGATTGTTCAACGATGATCCGTAGTGTTGCAGTTCGGTCTGTGGACGACCGATCCTTACGGAATCCAGATTGTTGATCTCGAAGTTGGGCGTCCACTGCATCCTTCATCCGGTTCAGCAACAATCTGTTGAAGACTTTCCTTAGTATTGACAGTAGTGTAATGCCTCTGTAGTTTTCACATTTGCTCAGATCTCCTTTCTTTGGAATCTTGATGAGGTGTCCTTCTTTCCAGTCCATCGGCATTTGTTCCTCCTCCCAAATCTTCTTGAATAGAACGTGAAGTATGTTTGTAGTTACTTCAATGTCTGACTTCAGTGCTTTAGCTGGTATATTGTCGAGTCCTGCTGCTTTCCTGCTCATCACATGTCTGATGGCCATTCTGATTTCTTCCATCGTCGGTGAATTGACATCTATAGGAAGATCCGTGTGTACTGCTTCGATGCCCGGTGGATTCATTGGAGCCGGCCTATTCAGGAGTTCCTCGAAGTATTCTACCCATCTGTTACGCTGTTGTTGAATTTCAGTGATTGGCTTGCCTTCTTTGTCCTTGACCGGTCTCTCTGGTTTACTGTACTTCCCTGCTATTTTCTTCATTGTTTCGTAAAGTTGTTTCATATTTCCTTCCCTTGCAGCCTTTTCCGCCGTCGTTATTAATTCTTCCACGTATTTCTTCTTGTCGGCTCTAATGCTTTTCTTCACTTGCTTGTTTACTTCTATGTATTCAGCTTGTGCTTGGACTTTCTCTGCTCTTGTTCCGCTGTTGTCAATTGCTGTCTTCTTTTTCTTCCTTTCTTTCATCCTGTCCAGTGTTTCTATATAGATCCATTCCTTATGATGATGGGGGCCCACAACCACTTGACTAGTTGAAGTTAATGCTTCTTTGATACCTTTCCAGTTGTCCTCCATAGTAGTTTCTTCTTCCCTCAATAGATCTTGTAAGGCTTGGAACCTGTTGTTGAGAGCTATCTTGTTGAATTCTTTGAATTTGTTAGTTTCTCGAAGGAAGGCTGTATTGAACCTTTGTAGTGCTGTTTGTCCAGTTGTCCAGTTCTTCGTTAGCTTCAGTTGCAAATTGGCCACAACTAGGTGGTGATCTGAAGCTATGCCAGCTCCTCTCCTGGTTCTCACATCTTCCATTGTCCTTCAGAACTTTTTATTGATGGAGATATGATCTATCTGGTTCTCTGTGGTGTGGTGCGGTGTGATCCATGTAGCCTTGTGTATACGTTTGTGTGGAAATATTGTGCTACCTGTGACCAATTTGTTGAATGCCCACAGATTTGCAAATCTTTCCCCGTTTTCTTTCCTCTCACCCCGTCCATGTCGTCCCATGATATCTTCATATCCGGTCTTGTCTATTCCGACTTTGGCGTTTAGATCTCCCATCAGAATGGTGAGGTCCTTTCTTGAGCATTTCTCTATGATTGATTGCAGCTGCTCATAGAATTGATATTTAATGTCGTCGTTGCTATTATTGGTGGGTGCATAACATTGAATAATATTCATTGTGATCCCCTCCTTCTTTATCTTGAATGATGCTTTGATGATTCTGGATCCGTGAGAATCCCATCCCACAAGTGCATTTCGTGCTACTTTGGACAGCATAAGAGCGACTCCCTGAGTGTGTGGAGCATTGTCCTCTTCGTGGCCGGAGTATAGCAGCACCTCTCTCGTGTTTAGCCTTTGTTGTTCAGTTTGGGTCCAATGGGTTTCGCTGATTACCAGTATTGCCAAGTTGTATCTCCTCATTTCCGTTGCTATTTGACTGGTCTTCTCGGTCTCCTACATTGTTCGGACGTTCCATGTACCTATTAATGAAGACCTTCTAACTCCAAGGATGGACAGAGTTTAATCGGTTTGAATTATTTTTTTGGTTAGCATTTTTTAGCGAGTTAGTTTTGTACGGGATGGAGTTGCTAACCCCATGCCCAACGCTCCTCCTTTAGTCAGGTTTGGAATCGGCAGTAACTGTAGAAGAGCTACAGGCGGAGTTCCTTATGATTAAACTCAACATTATTTATAATATAATTGTGTGTGGATAACTTTTCACGCAAACAAACTTGGTAAATCTGTATACTAAATGAAGTTTATACAATTTCTGTAATTAGAATATCCAAATTGCTTGGTAACTTTGCTTGGAGCCCCTCTGGAGCTACTTCCGGTCCCAAACCCGGATAAAAAAGAAGGGTTGGGCATGGGGTTAGCGACCCCATCCTGTAGAAAGCTAAATTGCTAAAAAACGCTAAGTAAATTACTTTATAATTAGTCAATAAATAGCAAATTATTAAAAAAATAAACTCAACTAATATTCTATCAATTAAGTTGCAATGTAGCTACTAGACTAACTGACTATAAATTGAAGCGCACCTTGTTTAATAAAACATAATCAAAGGATGAAGTAATGGATCTTGAATCAGTAGTTCAAACATATAGTGTTCAGTAAGAGATTTGTAAGCTACGAGTTTAGTTCACTTATGAAATTGTTGTTCAATGTTAAATAGTTCTAAAGTAACGACATAATCGTTTGTTACACACACACACACACACACTCCCCGTATACATATACAAAGTGAGAGTAAATTTGAACGAAAAAAACATTTATTTAATTATCAATAACCGAATACATTTTTAATAATAAACTTACCAGCATTTCTTGTATCCACAGTGAATTGACAATTTTGATTTGCCATACCTTCTCTTAATCCATTTCCATAAATACGAACTTTCGATGCATTACCAATTTCATTTTCACCAACATAAATTTTAAATGGACTATTAGCAATATGTCGACCATTACGGAATACATTAACAAAATGTTCACCAATTTCATGAGGTGTAAATGAAATACCTAAGATATAAGAATTATAAATTATTTATAAATAGTTAAGATTATGAGAATCTAAGGTTTGTTGAAGTTCTTTCATATGACAAGTTTATAGTGACTGAGGAAAAAAAAACATCTTTCAAATCAGAAATCATTGAATTATTGTAGACTTTTGTCTGTTACTTTTCACAATTGATTGATCACTGGGTGGTGATCAATGTCATATATGTCATATCTTTCTTATTGTAGATAGAATGCTATCGATCAAGTTGCAATGTGGCCACCAATCTAGGTGACTCTACATTGCGTGCACTATGTCTGGATAAGATGGTGATTGTAGGTAGTCAACGGGAAACGCTGGATCTAAGTTTCGTGCTACTTGGCACTTGTCAGCAAGGTGTGCCTGTAATCTTGAAGGAATTGATGCTCCCCGTGCCACTCAGTTTCACGGTCAGCGACGTTACCACTGGGCTATCCAGGCCACGATCGACCTTGTTGACAAGTGCCAAGTAGTACGAAATCTAGGGTTAGGGTTTCCTGTTGAATACCTTCAACAACCATCTTGTCGGTTACTTTTATTTGTGATGAATAAATTAGTAGTGGTTTGAGTATATTTTAGATAAATCTGAAGACTACTATCGCATTATAATTTCATATATACTCATTTAAGATATTTAATATATTTAAACTTGTTTTGATAAAGAGGAACGATATCTTTTGAATAGGGATAAGTTTTTTGAAACAATGAACTGGGTATATAGATATGATTAACAAGGTTTTACTTGGTAATTTCGAATAAATTGAGCATTGGTTAGATTGTTATAAATAAGATAATATATTTGAAGTATCCCAGTGAGTATAAAAATTAGATTTTCTGACGTTTCGCGACTTTGTATAAGCTACTTCTTCAGAGAATAAATAGCCAAATCAAAATTAATCCGAGTTTAAATAGTACAAAGGAACAATACAAGAATATTATGTTTTTTAATTGAAGAAGTGGCTTACACTGAGTCATGAAACATCAGAAAATCTCATTTTTCTACTCATTAGGATATCTACAAATATAATACTTTTATTTTTAATGAACTGGGTACTCCTGTTTTACTTACACTATCAGTTTGGAAAATTTAAAATTATTCTTTTATCAACAAGTCAATTTGTAAGTAAAACATTTCAATGGTTGAGATTATGAATCAATTGATGCTAGACCACCATGGAAAACCTGGAAGCACTGGACAGCAGTTTCGTTCTATCGTAAAACTCCTCATCAGTGAGCATTCACGATCCCACCTAACGAGATTCAAACCCAAGATCTATCTGTCTCGCGTGTGAGCGCCTAATCACTAGAGCCATTTGACATCCAACGGTGTTAATATCTAACTTCAACTAATCCACGACATTGTGCAATACATCCACTATTGTCATCAGTCAGTTACTATTTCACAACAGACTTGGTTGAACTCTACTGGTCACTGCTTCGTACTAGAACTCCAAGAAATACCTCTTGAAGCCAGTCACTAATGAGTATATGTGAATATTATAGTAATTTCAATGGTTAACAACATAAGTGCAATTTCAGTAAAATAATTAAAGGAATAGTATTATCCAACACGAAAATAGAAACTAACTGTTTTACTGAAAACGATAGTAACAATTAAAGTTGTTGTTGTTTTTTTCTTCCCAAATTTCTGTCTTATTTACTCATTTAAGATGAACATAGTAACCGTTTCTTATATTAAAAATGATTAGTATTGTCATTTTAAATGTTACATAACAATTTAATAAACCGACAATTTGAAAACAAAAACAAAAGCAAAACCAAAAAAACGAAGAAAAAAAAAGGAACTGAGAAAAACTAAAGTCTATTTTGAGTATTTATATGCTTAGTGATAAAATTTTGTTACATTTTCCATTAACTTTTTACAAAACACATTTCAAATTGAAATTTAAACTTATTTTATGTCTTGTAGTTAAGAATGTAAAATTCTTATTGCGGTTTATTTAAATAGTCAGACATTTCATTTGAACATTATTTATAATTATTTATTCATTTAATAGTTAGAAGCACTAGATGGCGATTTCATCGTATGTACGATCCTGCTCATGAGGTTTGAACCAAGGATCTACCGGTTTCACACACAAACACTTAACCTTTAGACCATTGAGCTGGTATTCAACGGTGTTAATGTCTAACTTCAATCAAGTCATTTTTAATAGAGCTATTGTTCATTGAATATGTGGGATTCACCTGAAAATAAATGATAATCGTTTAGGCGGTCAGATGTTTTCTCTAAATTGCTGTTAGAATTATTATTAAGAATAAACATGCTACTAATGTATGAAATTCAGTAGTTCAGGATTTCAAGGCTTTGAATTTTTCACCTCCTCGAAGTCGATATGTAATGTAACCAAAAAGATGACAACTATTTAATCAGTGTTCTATTATTAAGAATATTTACCTACAAATATTCAGTCATTTGCCCTGAACAATCCAGCCTTAACATTGATGAAATCACTATGGTTAGAAAAGCATTTTTAACAGTTTACAGTCACAGTTCCAGTGGAGGAAGAAATCAGGAAGAACTGCTGGAAGTGGATAAAACACATATTGAGGAAAGTAACCAACTGCGTCACAAGGCAAGGCCTCACATAGAATCCTCAAGGCCAAAGGAAAAGAGGAAGACCAAAGAACACATTATGCCAGACATGGGAACAATGAACAAAAGTAGGATAGAACTAGAAAGGAAGGCTCTGGACAGAGTGTGTAGGAGGATGCTGGTGGGCGACCTATGTTCCATTGAGAGTAACAGGCGTTAGTAAGTAAGTAGGTAAGCAACAGTCAAAGTTCAAAAATATTTGGTGTTGTGGATTCAAGTGAACGGGCTAGGCGAACATAGGACCAATAAGGACGTTAGACTGCTCATACTGGTCGAACGTCATTGGTTTTGGCACAGTGCGAAGATTGTATAAGTCGTATTTTGATTGGTAGATAAATCACGTGATAAAAAGCCGGACATAAAGTCATAACAGTTATGTATAAGAATTTTCATTAATCACAGTGTTTCAATTTACCTAGATGTCCGTTTGGTAGTCTTTTTAATGTTGATGGTTGTTCAAGTCCAGATGGGCTACGAACGGTTGCAACAAGATTATAAATATCTGTTTCTGTAATACGCAATGGCATTTCACTGGTGGTACCGACACAAACTTGATTAAATCTGCGTGATTCACCTGTAAAGCAAAAAACGAGAGGTTTTTCAATGTAATATGTAACATAAATTATATGTTATTTTTCATTGGTACAAAGCAGTTGTAAGATTAAAATACTGGTGACTCAAAACAATACTTAGGTTATTAAAGTTCGTTTAGAAAAAAATGGGATCAAACAGTCTTGTCTCCTCCGAAGTATTCCAGAATCGCAGCAATATATTTATCTTGGTGACTGAATTGCAGTCCAGAATTACTATTTAATCTGTAGGTGCACTAACATGGTACAGGTTCTATCTCATTGATATACGTGATACAAACAGTTGTTCGAAAGGCCTCAGAACCTCCAGGTAGAAAATAGAATTCTGTGTTTATCCTTAATTAATAATATTGAATTTCCTTAAAAAATACATTTCAAACCCAAATTATGCTTTTTTCGATCACTTCTTTGATTTATTTGAGTCCCACAAACTACTAATAATGAGATAGAGCGAACCTCTAGCTACAGAATGAATAATCAGAACCATTTTATATAAAAACTACATTAAGGTACGGATCCTCTTTAAACTAACGAATGTTAGGTTCGACTTCATTTTGCTCAGAGAGCTTTAATAATATCGTTATTTGAGTAATCCAAATGTTTCATTATATATATGTGCTTAGTATTAGCTTCTTCTTGTAAGTCATAATAGCCTATGAAAAGATTAGATCCATGAAATTGTATAACCTCACCAGTGACATTTTATGATGAAATTCATTGATATTCAGGTTGCTAGTTGAAATGACAAACATTACACTATTTGGATTAAATTTTGTTCACATAATGTCGTAGTTGGAAGAGACGAAACTGATGAAAACTGTACATGATAAACAGAAAAAAGTACTATATACTTCTTCTAGGGTTTGAACCAACTCTACCCAAAGTTAAGTTTAAAGTACGCTTAAAGTATGTTCATGTATTTGTTTATGAACGGTTTATAATTTTATCATATTTTTTTCTTATTACTGATAGAAGTATGTCAACCAAGAAGGATAATATAACGATTAGGTATATTGATGAGATCGTGTGAACGAAAATACAATAGGAAGATAATGAATAATTAAAGAGATTGTTCCATATCCTTATGTCACAGATACACAGGTAAGTCACAAGACAATATCTAATTTGTTTCCGTATATAATCATAATCTTAATAGATTTGCAACACATTTTGAATACCAGTATAGGGTTGTGGAGATTGTTGAGTTTAGATTGATATAATGAATGGATGAATGTCAAACCGTCATTGAAAACCTGGAAACAATTGACGGTCATCTCGTCCTAATATGGGACTCCTCAGTAGTGCACATCCACGTTCCCACATATAGAGTTCTAGTGGAAAGCCGTAACCACTGGAGATCAACCAGGTTTGTTGTGAGATATCAGCTCACTGAAGACAATGGTATACGGTGGCGCAACTTCGTGGATTGGTTGAAGTTAGACATTAACACCACTGGGTGCCGGCTCAGTGGTCTAATGGTTGAGTGCTCGCGGGCGAAGCCAGTAGGTCCCGGGTTCGGATCCCGCGATGTGCGGGGTCGTGGATGCGCACTGTTTAGGAGTCCCACAGAAGGACGAGACGGCCGTCCAGTGCTTCCAGGTTTTCCATGGTGGTCTAGCATCAACTGACTCATGATTTCAATCTGTGAAAATTTGTAAAATCTCCACAAACCCCTTCTGATAAATGACTTTTGTTAATTAATCTTAAAACATAATAAATTGTCTAATTATTCAAATCATGTGGCAGAAATATGTATCGAAATCATTATAAATTTGTATATTATCAACCAACTGTCTTAAATGTCAATATCTAGTTAAGCCACTTTTTATCATTCATTTATTCAAGTGACTGCTTATTTTTGATCAGTTATTTCAGTAATTATCAGTATGGGTTTTGTGGAGAGTTTTAGGAATTTCACTTGTTGAAATCATGAGTCATTTGATGCTAGACCACCATGGAAAACCTGGAAGCACTGGACGACCGTTTCGTCCTACTGTGGGACTCCTGAACAGTGCGCACCCACGATCCCGCACCCCGCGAGATTCGAACCTAGGACCTATCAGTCTTGCGCCAGGCGCTTAACCAACTAGACCACTGAGCCGGTATCCAACGGTGTTAAAGTCTAGCTTCAATTGATTCACGATTTGAACAAGTGATATTTCAGTAATTAGCAACAATGAATAACTTGACAAATATCTTAATACAAATACAAATTATGACTATTTTAACATACCGGTTATATGTGCTGTGAATGGTGAACCAGGTATATGATTCTCCATGAATTTAATCGATATTGTATATTCACCAGGTACTAGTGGTAAATAGCTTACACTACAAGTACCATTTTTATTATCATCACATTGAATATCGGCTTTGGATGGTCCTTCAACGGAAAGTGACAATCCACCTTGAAATCCCCCAGAAAAAATTGAAAACAGAAAATATTATTAAGTTAAATTTAATGAAAACGGTTTTTGATACTTACCGAGAAGGTATTTTTGACAAAAAACAAAGGGGAGTAACCAAGTTCCCAGAAATAAATGATATTTAACAAAACGGCTACTGTTATTCCTATCACAAAGTGACCTAAGTTCTGAAACCATTCAAAACCAAAATGCACTGGACATCTGTTCCTTTTTAGTGTGAGATTATACCTCATTAGTGTCAACTAAGGATCGGACTTAGGAACTACAGATAACTTTGTGAGAACTTGAATCTTAGACCATTGAGTAAGAATTCATTGATTTATCTGTGTGACGTCCATCAATTCGATTTATTTAGAAACTATCTTCTATTACATCTAGTGGATAACTGAAAACTGATGATCTTGCAGAAATATAGTTTTGTGTATTACCTCAGTTATTTGCCAAGTGCAGTAGATGAAATAGCTAATTATTATGCATTCTTATTTAACAATTTCGTTTAAACACTTTCTTAAGGGGAATTATTAACAAAACCAAGCTAAATACCGTAAAATCACCAAATATTTATTTAAAATAATAACTACAAGGAGAAAAATAAAGGAAGGTGACAAATTGGGGAGGCCATTATTCTCGATATGTTATTATGCATAGTTGGGTTATACATTACCTTTATCACTTTGATCTATAAATTGTATCCATGTCTTAATCTATTCTCAAATCATTGTAATTTAATCATGAGTTTTCTATCTTGTGCTCTAACTGCCTTATTTTGGCACATCATATTTTCATATTTATCGTGAGTCGTAGTCCAATATCTCTTATATTTGATCGTGCATTTGTTTAAGTTAGATTGAGTTCGAATATAGAGGTTTATATTGCAGTTGTCTCCTCTCTTCTATGAATAGCCAATCAGTGTCCGCGTAGCTGATCTTTATTCGGAGTAAAGAATAGTCATTTGCTCTCTGGTCTAATTAGTCATCGATGGACTTTTCGCATTTGACTTCTGAAGGTTATGTTAAGTAGATGTTAACTAGTTCTGAGAAATATTTTACTTACTGACAAGACCAAAGTCATCATACGTATAAAATAGGAAAAAGTGTATTTTATTTTAAGAAGTAAATCCATTTATTAGGTAATGAAGATTAAAAACTGCTTTTTAAGAGAATGTAACTTTACTGTACTTTGTAAGTTTGGAACAGTACACAATTACTAAGCGATCAAAATGGTGAACTTGATATTTTGCATTAGAACTAGATACTATTCAACTAGTGTATCGTTACTTGTAATAGCCGTCTCTATCGATAACCATCAATGGTGTGTAATTGTTGTCATTTATGACTTGCTAAAGTTTCCTGGTCAATGCTACTTATTTGAACATGAGAACATTCACATTGAAAAGCAAGTCATTAATAACTAGTGAATCAAATCTCCATAAACGTCTCATACCATTTTGTATCATTCTTGTTTTACGTATATTCCGTGTTATTAAAATATCACTTTCATTAAGGTTGTATATTTTTCTCATAGATTGGAATATAATGGGCCTGTAAAATTCTTTATTACACTTATTATGTCTATGGCCTATTTGTCATTTCTTTACTTTTATGATATAATCTTCATCTGCTGTCCATTCATATATGGTTGATTCATAAAAATATGGCATTTGAAAATAAAGTGACTTGATCGATAGCACTGAAAACAGTTTTAGACATTAGGGTAAAATAAAATTTCAGTGAGAAATTGTTATTTGCAGAATATAAAGTTAAATTATACTCGCCCCCGAATGGCCTTGTACGGCCGAGGGTGGGGAGAGTCAGTCCTCCCCTCTCCAAATACACACGGCCACATCAATACAGCCACTAACAGGGAAGTCCTACTTACTTCCTTCTCGAGGCGGGGATGTTGTTTAATAAATTGAGAGGACGAAAACCGAATATTCGGTGCTTTAATTGGGTTAGTGAATATGGAGGATACATTTAGGGGAGTTGGATAACCCTGATTACAAACCAATGGTGCACATGGGTTCCAGGATCCTGAGGGAACAGATGACGTATGCACCTATTATTGGTCACCATGTACCATGCGACTGCATCTCCTTACGTTGCTCCACTGCATTGTGGATTAGACCTTTATGTCAAAGGTTTGGGGAATAGCCCCCCAAGAAAATCACTTTTTTCGGTTTGGGCGCTCGAACAGTATTCCAGTTCTCGCACACATCGAATGATTTGTGTGGCGCATACATATTTGGTTCCTCCTTGTACCAATACTTATGTGTTTAAATAATAGTAATAAATAATAATATGTCCCATCCAAATAAATGATTAAGTTAACGACTGTAGAAATACAGAAAATAAATATATTTAATCATATACATAGTTCCGCTTTATAAACAATGGTATTCATTGCAATAGATTCCCTTTAGATTCTACGGTTCAATGTCCACGTTAACAATCCGAAAACTGATCAGGTTTAGGGCAAGGAGTTAGACGTAATACAACCAGTGATATGTTAATACTAAAATTAGGTAATGCAATTCAAAGTACTTTTAATGCTGGAAAACTACAATGAATGTTTACTACCTGTCCAGTGGTCACTTAGAAACAAGCTACCTCTTTCTGTACCAATCAGTTTAGCTGTTTTTGTGTAGCAAGTTATATTGACCAATGTTCTAGGGATTTGTATTTTCGTACTCATAAACCCCTCCCACCGTGGTTAAGCGTAGGTATAGGTAAAACTACTAATAGTTCAATTCCAGCTCATTTAGTGCAAAAAGATCATACACCCAATATGAATCAGTCATTTACAGTAATCTATTGTGTTAAAAACTTGGCTTATGCATATATAGCCTTGCTCTTTGCGTTTTCATAACTTATTTGATCATATTCACATATTATTACTATTGTTATTATAATATGAAGGGGTTTGTGGAGATTTTAGAAAATTCACAGATTGAAATCGTGAGTCAATTGAGGTTAGACAACCATGGAAAACGCACTTAGTTAATATTTCATATGAGCCATTTCAATGCTAATAATTTTCTGTATGATTAAGCGTTCGCGAGCGAAACCGAAGGTCATCGGTTCGATTCCCTGTGGTAGGGTCGTGGATGCACACTGCTAAAGAGTCCCATACTAGGACGAAATGGCTTTTCAGTGTTTGTCTCTTAGTTCAGTCTTAAATTTACCTTTCACATAACCACCTTTTTGGATTCTTGATTCAGCTGTAGAACCTAAAGAGAATTTATTGGAAATAATTTTTTTCGTTCATGTATCGATGTTTTTAGTACGATGGGAATTTTTCGGAGAGTATTGGTATCTGAATTTTAGAAGCATTTATTCTGAAAGCGTCTCTTCGACTTCCTTTTTAAGCGATTGTGTTTTCCGTTGTTCGGGTTGCGGTCTTTACATGATCAGTATCTAGCAGTGAAATTCAGGAAGCGTGTTCCATCCTATTTGGAATTCATCAGCTGGATGTACATCCAATTCAATGCTGATATTCAAATTGGGATTCGAACTCAGTACTTTTCGTTTTAAATGCCGAGGCTTTATTCGTTGACCTACTGAGTTCATATGAACGCTAGATTGTGAAACGGGTTCCACTGTTAGCTATTATCCGACTTAATAAAACCGTGAGAAATAAAACGTGAAATTGTGCTTCAAAGAGAAAAGTGGTTAGTAATGGTGCATTGTTTCAGTGATCAATTAAAAGGAAAAAAAACATAAACCATTCACCATTCATCATCAAGCTTACACACAGTACTAACTGTCATCTGATGTATTTGTTGCTCCTTCATTAATGGGTGGGGATAAGTATATATCCAATTGAAATTCAGTTACATATGGGAACGAACCAATGATTTCATATTCGTTGCAATCTATTGTAATTAGAATGAACGTTTTTATAGAAACGAGTAATTAACAGTTTTATTTTTATTGGTCGTATACATCACGAACTGGGATTAGGCATTTAACCATTTGTAACCAGCTAGCACTGAAAAGATATTTCATCCTATTTCGGCACTTCTTAGCAGTGGGCCAAAACGGTTCTCTTTGAATAAACTCAGAACATCTGTGCTCTCCTGAGAGCAAATTTCTTTTGGACAATCAAGTTGGACGCAATAGCCCATAAATTCAGCACCAATCTATTCATACTAGTACCAACAACTATCTTACTTCCGTCACAGTTCAACCCAGTCAATAATTATTGAAATAAATAATTTCATTATTTACCTGCTCCAGCATCGCGTGTAATTAAAGTGAAATTTGCTGGTTCTCCAGCACGACCACAAGATAATCCTGGTCCATAAGCTGTAACAATTCCAGATCCAACAGCTTCAACATAGAATCTGAAAGGACTACCTGGTATTGGTTGACCATTATAAGTTATTTCTAATTCATGCAGCCCAGGTTCATTTGGTTGAAATTGTGCTGTCACTGTTCCATCACCATTATCCAGTAAAGTTGGATGTAAAATTCGACCACTTGGTGTACGAACCAAACCTAATATGTTATTTTGATAAAAAAAGATGGTTTTTGTCTTTTAGTTATTTTGACAAAACCATCAGGCTTCTATATATTCATTATATTACATCTCCTATCACTTTTTGAGTTGTCGAGTTTATTTGGTATGTATTACCATTTTGATTATGTAATCACTACTACTATTTAAATAAGATAGTGCTTTAATCCTAAATAATATCATTGGGTGCTCATAAGTAAGATATATAGTAGGCTCATATTAGAACGTACAACCAAGCAGGCGTAATCTTTTATAAACTGGTACAATGCCCAACGCTAAATCCAGCTATTAATTTTATCTTTATCGTTGGACTTTATAACAGTTCAAACAAGAATAGGTTTGAGTGAGTGTATGCTCTGGAGGAATGATGTGAGGATGCTACAAACGCTCACCAAAACTGTTTCACTGTTATCTATGCTTCTTCTCTAGAATTAAATTAAATAAGTAATCAGTCACCGGCGATTCCTAGGTCATATAAAAATTAGGATTGATCGTAAGTAACGTTTTTACGATAACAGAAATCAGTCATTTATAGTTAGTCAAGTATCAAGTCAAAATTGATTAATTTTGAAAATGATTTTCGCAAGACAATGACATCAACTGAAGTAGCCTCTAAAGACCAGTGAGCAGTGGATATCTGTTTTATCGTTATCTAGGACTTTAAAAATTCAGATACGATCTCACACGTGACGAAACTCAGGACCTTTAGGTCACACTGACAGAACGACGAATTTGTGTACCGATTTATCTTAAACTGTTCTATATTAAAAGATCTTACAACAATCAGTTGAAAAGGCATCAAATCTTTATTCTAGTACTGGTTAGTTGATTTTTTTCATTTGTTAGTATGAGGCAGATAGATGAATAATTTCGGTTCCATGACCTAAACATTCCTTCTATCATTTGGCACGTCTCAGATCAAGCTCAGACATTTAAGTTAAGTTTTCATATAACATCACCGAGTGACCAACCCTGAGGTTAGCCGTAAAGTATTAAGAAGAGATTGGAAATCGGTTGATGAACTAATTATTCTTCATCAGTGGGAGTGTTTGGGACACTTTTTGACCATGCTCAGGTACCGCCTACCTGAAATGGTAATGGTGACTGGTGTATGTGCATAGGAGAAGAAATCCAAGGAAGACCAAACAAAGAATTAACGTCAGTTCATGCAATCAATGACAACTGAACTGAACCATGTAGACAAGTTCAGACTTCTTGGTTAGGGTTCACGCAATTAGTATCATTAGTGATAGGAGACGTCGAATCACACGGCTCAGATGCACCTACTGTTTGTCGTACCTTAGATCATGAGTCCAAAAACCGCCTTCTACTTCTTTTTTTTCTACATTTAATCTTTTCTACTACTGCTGATATAGTCACTCCTTCTGCTCTAGGATTTTTCTTGATAGCTTAATCTCGCTGTACTGATATGTGGTGTGGTAATTCGAAATGATGCACATATGTGCCAGGTTCTACGTTCCACATAACTGACAGACTTCTATAGGGCTAATCATCTGCAAGTATCTTGACAGAAAGTGGGTGATAATGTTTAGTACCTTGAGCATTCAGTTTTTAGTGACTAAAACACACATTTGTAACTCGTCCCATCTAATTTGTCTCAGAAATCATGATAGTATCAATAATCATTAGTTCATATCCTAATAAATCAGTTTGTGAATCAGTTTTATTCTGGTTGTTAGATTCGTAAATTGGGAACGTTAAACAAGTATTACCCAGATACTCTGAATATCAATTCTGTATGTAATAAATACGTTAGTATATATACTTCACTATATACTCATTTCAATATATTGGAATAGTTAGGTACCGAAAAGAGTAATACAATACCACATTCTTACCTTCCACATGACTAAATGTTGGGCCAACAGGTAGTTTAAAATCAACTGGATGATATCCTGTTGTAATTGTTGAAGACTGAACAGACTGTACAGATTGTACAGTTACATGCTGTACTCTTTGATCCTAGAAATTTTGGTATAAAAGGAAATGTACAGTAAATGATATGTCATTCCAATGACATTAGTAAATTACATTGATTTAACCATTGTCTTTAGTGTTTAAAGATAATTCAGTGAAAAGATATGTGCATCTATATCAATCCAGAAACTGTATTATTAATCTCTGGAAACTGACACCTTTCCTGTGATTCAAACCTATGTAATTCAAAAACGTCGATTGGAGGTGTTATATATAAACTTTTGGTTTCTACCTGTTCAATAATTTGTGATAAGTGTAACCGATTAGATAATAAAACTTCCCATTATTCAAAAAGCAATAATTGGTATTCAGTTTAACTTTCATGAGGATAGTTTCCATATTACCTTTTCTAGGGCAACACTGTTAATCTAACTAGATGGCGGACTGTATATTGTCGGAGTATGATTATCAAACTTGTGTTGACATTTGTAAAGGTACCGTCAGTCAGTATTTTACATTAAAACCAAACGGATGAAAACTATGTACTAAACACTTGTTAAAGTATAATATTTGTTTCACAGAGCGTACAAATGTATACAATATGTGTTAAAACATGTATTAATATCAAATGGTATAAGAAATTGTGAGTTGAATTATCTTACCTTATTTTCTCATTCAAATGTAATACAGGTAATCGTGTATAACTTGATTGCATATATATACACACAGAATGATCATATTAACACGTTTATAAATTTTAATAGTTGAGATCATGAGTCAATTGAAACTAGACTACCATAGAAAACTTGGAATCACTGGACGACCATGATATAGCAACTCACTGAAGACAATGGTGAACCTTGGCGCCATTTCATGGACTAATTAAAGTTAGACATTAACGCCGTTGGATGCCGGGCGGCTTAGGGTCTAGAAGTTAAGCGTTGGCGCGCGAGACTGATAGATGCTGGGTTGGAATCCCGCGAAGCGGGATCGTGAATGAGTACTACTGAAGATTCCCACAACAGGACGAAACGGTCGTCCAGTGATTCCAGGTTTTGGGCTAGCTTCAATTGACTCATGATCTCAACTATTAAAATGACTATAATATCCACAAAAACTTTTTCTGACATTTATAAATGTTTATTTACGAAATTAGAAATTAGCTAACAACGAATGTTAGACAGTTCATAATGTCTTAAAATCGGTTTTAGTTCTGGTACCTGGCAACCAACATTCTGTTGAATATATTAATAAAATTAAATAATAAGCGTTTTATCTACAGACTATAATTATCTAGAACTTAATTGCTTTTATTTAGTTATTTTAAAGCTGACTTATGCTAATTAATCCCTGAATATTGGGAAGTATTTAGTGGCCTGGGGTCTGACTCCAGTAATATCGTATGATTGATTGTTGAATTATATATCCTGGCTATTCTGGTATACAATTATAGACTTAATCCGCGTTAGGGAATAATGGAATTAAATAAGTCTAATATGAGAATGAATTTCTGAATACGTATATTTTGTACAATCATCGATTCAGGTAGACGACCAAATGAACGAATTGTAACGAAATGATGCATAGTGGAAAAGGCATGTGAGCCAACTCGATTTAATCAAGCGTCAATTTATATTTATAGTCAAACAAAAATAAGCTACAGACGTGATGAATAGGATAAGAAGTGTACACACACACATACGCTCATATAAAAACAGCCAGGGTTGATAAGTGAATAATTGACAAGGTCAAAAAGTACCTGTTCAGAAGCTAGAATAAAGTATATGGGCTTAACATAGTAACCGACACTACAAGCACGAAATTTAACCATGGAGACAAATGTTTATTCATGACACGATTCAATCATAAATGTTTTAAATGTCCTAACCAGAATGTTACCCAATTATCTTTATTTCAACTAATCCATATTGTCTTAACAACTAATGTGATCTTTAATTCATTCAAACGTAATAGAATGATTTTCATTTCAACAATAATTTCACGATTTCATAACAAAAATATTCACACTTACAGTTACATCGTTCATTAGTTCCTCTGGGTTGACAGCCTAAAATACAAATAGAAAGATATTAGAAAATGTTTATAAATTATTCATTGTTAACTGAATCACCTAATGATCATAAGTAGTGGAATGTAAGAAAGTTAATCGTATAAAGGTTATACTCAGCGGTCGAGACATTAAGCGTTCTTGTGCGAGACCAAAAGCTCTGGGTTCGATTACCGCGTGTAGGGTCGTGAATGCACACTACCGAAGAGTCCTACACAGTGAAGAAACTGCCGTTCTGTACTTCCAATTTTTCAATGGTGGTATAGCTTAGATAGATTCATGATTTCAGTGAAATCCAACAATATACAGAACCCTTTACTAACGATAATATTTTAATCTGTAACTGACGATAATAACACCTGAATGCATATGAAACCTCAAAGTTTAACCACTAACAGAAAAAAGCAAAGCAAACGACCTAGAAATTTTGAAAGGATTCGCAAATTTTCAGTTAAAAACAAATAACATTCAAAAATTCTTTGTCGTTTATTTTGTTCTGGTAAGAAGAAAATCGAGATACTATGACTAATTTTCTCTGAAGTCTAGTGTAATTTTCAAAACTTGGATGACTGGATCCATTAAAAGCGATAGTGATGCTAATCCATATCGGATGTGAGGCAGTTACCCACCAAAGACGGTGGGAAATGACCGCGTAATATCGTGGATTGATTGCAGTTAAGTGTTAGTACCAATCGATAACTGTTTAGTGCTTCCAGGTTTTCAACGGCTATCTAACGTAGATCAGATCATGATATTGATAAGATTCAACAATCTGTATAACCCCTTGCTTACTATTCTTTTGTTGACAATGATTATTAAATTAAGACAAACATATATCAGTCAATGATAAAAATGATTTCAGCATATAATCCTATCATTCTTGTATGACTTTCATTTAACCGTCAGTGCTGATCAAGATTATTGTAGAAATACTTCGTGATCCCCACTAACTTCACATACCAACACATTTCAAATAACCTTGATATAGAACTTACTTTTTGATTAAATCTTCCATTTGGTATAAGTTCACCGCCAAATCTTATTTCAACTAAATAATCACCACGAATTGGTGGTGTATAGTAAATATTAACTCGACCATTTGGTGCTTCATGAATTTCAACATCGGCTGTTGCTCCAGACGGTGTAACAATACGACAAGTTAATTGTCCAACACCAGCTTGTGCTGTATTCACACTGATAACACATTCTTGACCAACAGGTATTCGGCTATCATTTCCATCTTTTGAGAAAATAATAAATTATTAATAATATCTAATTTATTGAATTTATCATCCATTAACAAAAATAAAGTAAAACTATTCAACGAAAATTGAATTCCTTTGAGAGATTTTTGTAGTTTAAAACATATCGGTTAAGAAACAATTGAAATCTAGGGAGTATTATACATTTACTTTGTTATGACGTTTACTGTGAAATGGATTTACTGAAGTTTTAGTAGGTAGGCATTGGTTGTCACGTCATTCTAGTTGCAAGCAAACAGTAGTAGTCCAGGAACAACACTGGATGAAAATTACACTTTATAAAAAAATGGACCTAAATTCCAAGTGTTTCCCATCAAATATCTACTTGGTAGTGTTGGGACGGCTTCGAAAGGCACGATGAAACCTGAAGAGGCTCTTAAAGAGCCAAAAAAATTCCATTCAATCAGAACTTGATACAGCCTTCTAGAATATCAACGTGACATGTTACTATCTGACTATAGCATAATTTGCCTCCATGCAGATTGGTTGAATTATAATGATGTCATAGCTAATACTAATGACTATAAATACCCATGTTTTTTCGTAAATTTTTTTATTCTTACACAATAACCACTTGCCCTGCTTCTTCCGTCTTCGAATTTGTGACTGTGTGGTTTTACACGTTCAAGTGCCGTTAGTTGCAAATCGTATTTTGCCGTAATCAGGTAGAGGACGTAACAGGAAGCTCAAAGATATTGTTTTGTTTGTTTGTTTAAACACATAAATATTGGTACAAGAGGGCACCAAATACATATGCGCCACACAAAGCAACGAGAATTTGAAGAAGGAAAAAAGAAGCGTAAGGAGCGTAAAAAAACAATAACGAACAGATTAATGTAAGGTAGTGTAATAATAATAATAATGGAGGAAACGAAAGGGTACAATCAGAAGAATTCTTTCAGTTAAGGAAGAAGCAACCACTTTTTATGAAGAAAGTAAAGGAATGTTACAGCAGGATCGCCACTGGCTTCTATTCTGAGCCATATCTGATAACGTCTCTAGCCACTGTGTCGCACAATCTCTGGGACCCCAGCTATGTAATACACTGACCAAACAGCCAGTTTGAATGGTGCATGTGGTTTCAGAAAAACTGCTTCAGTATTCGTATTCGGTGGTAGCATACAATTTTCAACCAGGTAGTGACTCGAGAACGTTTAGATAGAGCCGAATTTCCACCATAGGCGAGCTGCTGTTTAAGTCGAAAAATAAGGATACACAGAGTGGGAATAAAAGACAGTGAATAAATGACGTAGTAAATAATAATAATAATAATAATAATAATAATAATAATAATAATAGTAATAATAATAATTTGAATCACGTGATTGTTAGTTGAAGCAAGAAAAGTAGTTTCCATAATTATACACAGTTCATCATTTGTGTGTGGGCTGGGATAGTGCTTGGGTGCCCAGACCGAAACAGGTGGTTATCTTAGGGGGCCACTCCCCGAGCCTTTGACCTAAAGGTCTAACCCACAAGGCAGTGGAGCATCGTAAGGAGATGCATTCCTACGGTAACCGGTGACCGAAAATTGGTTCATACGCCATTTGTTCTCGCAGGATAATGGGGCCCATGTGCACCATTGGTTTGGAATCCGTTTAAAGCGCCGGACATTCGCTTTTCGTCCTCTCAGTTTCGTAAACAACACCGCCACGAGAATGCAGTGAGTAGGACTTCCCTGACAGAGGCAGATATTGTGGCTCCACAAGAACTGAAATTCATAGATGTGATTCATTTAAGAGTCCCAACCTAGAACAAAAAAGCTGTTCAGTCTCTTGTAATTTCTAATAATTTGTCACCTCGTATCAGTTGCAAAGACAGATCACACGTTATAAATAAATTAATTAATTAGCATGTCCAATAATAAAACTATCAGCTTTCTGCAGACATTTAATGGAAAGCAGTTCACAGTGGTTCACTTATCAGCTTCATACGGTGATTCATCTAAACACAATTGAGGATTACCAGTGTACTTGAATAAAATATTCTCAACAGGTCAAATTTAGATTATAATTTGAAAGTTATCAACTCAGATTCCAGTTTATTTAATAACCATGACGTAGTTTTGTTGGGATATTCAGAAAAATATCCCAAAAATTATCCTGTTAAGTCTAATGCTATCCTTGGACTTGAGATGGCATCATTTTCCTATTGGTCAGTTTTTATTTCAGGTGTCGTTTCCCTACTGGTCAATATTTATTTCACGTGTCATTTTCCTGTTGACCAAACACTACAAATGTTATGTTACTTTCTATTTTATGGTAAGATGTGGTCTGCTTGATTGGTATATAAAGAGAGTATGTTTGAAATATAACGATTCATATCTCAGAGGCTGAGACTTGAGTTCTGGGCTCAACTGGCTGGGCTAGACAGGGAAGCGGGGCCAGTCGGGACTCTAGGTTTTTCTCACGTGTTTACGCGCCTTTGGTCCGATTGATAAGTCACTGAACATTAATCAGCAGTCACACGTTACAGCAAGTTCCTAACGATATTACAAGTAAACATAAATCAATAATCTTAGAATGATCGTGGTATCAATAATAAAAGATCTTAAACTTGTTCGTAAGTGATTTTTATGTGCAAAATTTTCAACGGGATGTATAATATTGTGATCTCGGTTGCTTTTCATTGACTAATAATATTTAATTTCGATACGCTAATTGTAATCTTTTTATCTTTGGTTGAACTGTTATATGGAGTCAATAATGTTATTAATAGCGGCTGATTCATATATTCTAGCATTTTTCTACTTCTCAGTTAGTGTGTAGTTAAATTGAAATCCGTTTGTGTCATTCATAGAGTATGTTCTCAAATATTTAGTCAATCAGATGTTAATCATAATTACATCATCAGTTCAGTTATGCCAAGCATTAGTTCCTAACGAAATTAATACTCTTGTGTTACACAACGCCATAATGAAGTGACCTCTCAAAAAATGATTTCTTAATGTACAGTTAGATGGTGGGTTCTTGGGTAGATATTGTTCAGGGATCACAATTGATTGATCACTGGGTGGTGGTCAATGTCATGTGTGTCAATTCCTTATTTAGTGCAGATTGAATGCTATCGACCATGTTGCAATATGGCCATCAGTCTAGGTGACTCAACACTGCGTGCACTATATACTGAGATTAGATGGTAGTTGGAGGTAGTCGACACGAGGTCGGATCCGCCAGGGAGTACCAGTTCCCGCAGGATTACAGGTACACCTTGCTGACGAGTACCAAGTAGCACGAAACCCGGGTACAGGGTTTCCTGTCGACTACCTCCAACCACCATCTAATCTCATTGTTCAGGAGTCCTATACTAGTAGTTTAGTGACCATTGATACTCTATAGTTCTTCAGCTGATAGGATTTCGTGATGAAATTTGACTTGAACTATTCATTTTGGATTCAATGAAACAAGGATCATAAGTATACTGTATAAAAATGGGAAAAAAAGACCTTAAACCTCAAACTGGTTACTTGATGCCAGAGTTTACTAATGAGAAGTGTCATTTACTAACTTATATAATACAAATCCTGTAATATATTTATACAGAATTTTTCTATCATGAACAGATTTATCTTGACATCATAATAAAATTGTTTATTTTAGTTACCGAAATATGAAATTTCATAAATAGATTTGTTGTTGTTGTTGTTGTTGTTGTTGTATACATCAGTGTACATGAATTTGTGTGTATGTATGTAAGTATCAATTTTGTAATTATGCCTTGCTTTCCCTTTTGGCTATAAATCAATCCTTATCTACTGACTAATAAATGTACACAGCTACATACATGTACACACCTACATATACAAATACTGCCAAGTGAATACAATGTTGCATAAATAAAAATCGATAAATGTGTGTGTGTGAGGTAAATTTCACTCAGAAACGACTACTATTTTGTATAAAAACCAAGATAAGGTAATTAACACATATTGAGTGGGTGAGGTGATAATGAATACAAATAATCACTACTTTTCAATTGTAGTTGTGTCCACGTGTCTATCTAATAGTATTGTGCAATGAACTTTAAAAGTATAACAATAACAATTCCAAAGGAAAATAATATTAGATTAAAACTGTGAAATATGAGAAGTTGTGACTAAGTTGTAAATTTATAATCTATTCATCTAATTTGTTTAAAGGGTTTAAAAAGAGATTTATTTCATATGAAGGTAGCTGTTAGTTACAGATTGAATTCATTTGGGGATACTATTGAAAACTAGAAATGATTGGACAGCGGTTTCGTCTCAGTGTTTGGGACTCTTCAGTAAAGAAGATCAACGACTCCAACAGGGATCCAACTCAAGATAATAAGATACATAGATACTGTTTGATCTTTATAACCATTGATCTGGCGTCCAATGGTACAATGCCAACTTTAACTACATAGTTACATAGTGTGGTGATTATCTTATGGAATTAGTGACAGTTGCTTATCTATTCATGTTCAACTCTTGAAGGTTAAATGGTAAGCTATGGGTTGACTTCTCGGTTCTATGCTTGCTGGTTCTTTCTCTTTCAAAACTAGAAAACGAACCTTGCAGTTGGTTTTCGATAAGCTTGAATTTTATTGCCGTTAAATTGACCACATTTCATCATCGTTGATCAAAATATTGAAAAAGATACATCCTCGGGGGGTAATCAACAATATACATTCAGTAATCAGATTCACGTGTTAGGGGGAACTTGATAACAAATTACATTTCCTTGACTTTTTGTTAAACTGTTAAAAAAATGATTCTGCCAGTAGAAGTGTATATAGAAGGAGTTCTTCGATAAGCCAATAGACACGTTTCTTGAGTTTTATTCTCATTCGTTACAAGAGAAATTTAGTTGTAAAAAGTGCTCGGAAGATATGCTCAGCTGATATCGTGAACAGGGAACTAGAACTTATAATATATGGATTGAAATGGGTTATTATTGAGATTTGAAGTGATTTATCGTATTCCTACCAGCTTTATTTATGGGGTTCGATCTCGTCTCTTACACATAGCAGAATTTATAGGAATTTGACTTGTTAGTTCAAGTGTTTGTATTCATAAGAAATTTGTAGCACCGTTATCTCATTCTTGGCCGAATTAGCCTTAACAAAAGATTTTGTTTATTATTATTTTCCATACTCTTTGTTCGTTTATTTTCCTTCACCCTTTTTACAAATGCAAACTTCACTGTCTGATTATTTGAACACTTCTTGTTACTATCAGAACGGGGTTATGTGGAGATTGTAGTAATTACTGTGGTCACCACTGATAACCCAGGCTATAATAGTTACATTTCCCAGAAAAATATATCTCTTCTAGTCTTCGCTTAGTTTTAAGGCTATCATTATTTGATTAACGTAATTATATCAATAATGTAATCTTCCAATTGAAATTAAACACCTTTATCTCAATTTATTTTATCATCAGTTCTCAAACAAAAGGTCGTAGTAAAAACACTTAGTTATCATTTACTTTTAGTATGATTATTAGTAAGTACAATTTAGCCCTTCTAATTTGTATAAATTCTCTTACTTCACTTACAACTACTCATCAATCTTCACTGCTAATTTTGACGTAATTTTTAGTATCTTCTTTCACTTATTATAAACTCCGCCTGTAGCTCTTCTAGAGTTACTGCCGGTCCCAAGCCCGGGTAAAGGAGGAGAGTTGGGCATGGGGTTAGCGACCCCATCCCGTAGAAAACTAAAAAACGCTAACCAGAACCACTTATTACAATTTCAATCCTACTTCAAACATTCATTTCATCGTCATCAATGAAAGGATATCAAACAGTTGTTCTTAGCCCTACTATTCTTTGTAACTTTTGGTTGTTTGAAACTAAAGTGAACCATGAAATAGAATAAACTCGTCTTACTCTGTAAATTGTGTTTATCATACTTTGTTCAAAATTATCAGTTGTGTTAGATCTTTGAAAGTAAGCAATTACATGAATATTGATCCAAAAAATATCACATAACTTAATCATATTAAAAACAAATTTCTTTTCTTTATTTATCTTACTTTCTATACGACACATATTAGCTCGTCCAGATGGTGCAACTGGTACTAGGAATGGACTTTCAGGAATTTCTTGTCCACCATATTTTACTCGTACAGTATGACGTCCAACAATCATTGGTTTATAATGACATATATATGTTCCATCTCCAACATCTACTACTTCTAATTGTAATGGTTGACCATCAGGATCCTGAAATTATAAATTAGATTAAGTGTTATCAGAAATGCATGATCATACATACATAAGTTCTTAGGATTCATGCAAATAGATTTACAAATTGACACAACAACAGTAAGAGGGACAACCAAGTTAACTGTGACAACACGAAAAACAAATGTGCTACAAAACACTCAAATTGATGTGTTTTTTAAAAAAAAGAGAAATGCTTAATAGTATGGATGGACTGAAGGACTAACGTCAACCAAAGAATTCTTGAAAGAAAACTCATTACCTATCATTTTCTTGTTGTAATTTGTTCGAGGATGAATAACCTCTGGAAATTTATCATTGGGATTTTATTGAGACTATATACATATTAGGTCAGTCAAGTCCAACGACACATAATACTTACTGCCATTCAGTACCCTTTTGGATTTATGATGGTATGCTTAAAAAAGATGGATGAAGTACATTGCATTATTTAAATTGTTCTACTACGTCAATAAAGATAAGTCTAAATGAGAAACACTTTTTGAAAGTTTCAACTTACTTCAAAATTTGTGATAATAGTTGAAAAGAAACTCCACCTGTAGCTCTTCTAGACTTACTGCGGGTCCCGAGCCCGGGTAAAAGAGGAAGGTTGGGTATGCGTTAGCGACCCCATCCTGTAGAAAACTAACTCACTGAAAAGGCGCTAACCAGAAAAAATAATTCAAACCATTTAAACTCTGCCCAGGGAGTCAGAAGGTCCTCATCTAGAAGAACTATGACGCCTCATGGTGAAAGCCGAGATCGTTCGGAAGTCACGAAACTGATGCTTCTTCTAACAACCACAGCAACAGTTTATATAAGTACATCGAACGTTCGGACAATGTAGGAGACCGGGAAGACCAGTCAAATAGCAACGGAAATGAGGAGATACAACTTGGCGATACTGGGAATCAGCGAAACCCATTGGACCCAAACTGGACAACAAAGGCTAAAAGCGAAAGAGATGCTGCTATACTCCGGTCACGAAGAGGAAAATGCTCCACACACTCAGGGAGTTACTCTGATGTTGTCCAAAGTAGCACGAAATGCACTTGTGGGATGGGAATCTCACAGATCCATAATCATCGAAGCATCATTGAAAACAAAGAAGGAGGGGATCACAATGAATATTATTCAATGTTATGCACCCACCAATGATAGCAACGACGACATTAAATATCAATTCTATGAGCAGCTGCAATCAATCATAGAGAAGTGTCAAGAGGTTCTTAGCCTCAAAAAGCATCATCATAAGGAATGGATCTCTATAGAAACACTGGACAGGATCAAAGAAAGGAAGAACTCCATATTGAAAGTTAATTTGTTGTCCCAATAAATCATGTTTGTGATGTTCAATAAGTGGTTTGAATTAATCACTTGATATAATTACCATGCAGACTACTGAAAACTCTATGTTATCTAAATATTTCGTTCTTTAGTAATCAACTTGTCTTTAAGCTAAACAAATTCATTTCATTCCATTTACATATGAAAATGAGCAAATGAAATTCGGCACAAACGATATTATTAACAAGGTAAAGTGACTTGATTGTTTTAACACGTTTAGAAAATTATTCATTAAAAGTGAAGTGTACTAAACAATTTTGATTTACAACACTGATTGAAAAGAAACTGTTGCTTTACATCAGTTTTTCTATAATAACAACAACCATCGACACCAACTGTGTCAACGATAGGCAGAGGTGGATGGTGGGTAACAGTGTAATCCAGAACGTGCATTTCCTCCTATATGGGACTTTTCAGCTGGTTGTACTTGCGTCTCAGAGTTGTTATTCACTTCGGGACTCGAACCCGGTACCGTTCGCTTCAAACACCTCGTGAATAACATATGTGAGTTATGAGAATGATTCCAAAGAATAAGCATTTTACCATTTCAGGTCTAGTTTATGGATACTCATTATGTTATCTTCTTTTCTATGTCTGTATTCTAGCTAAATGAAGTATCCATTATGTTGTTGAAATTTATTCGTTTGACAATTAATAATCTTTAGTCGGTAAAGGTAACTTTGATTTATATTAGTCACTAACATCCTATTTTTATATCAAACGACCCTCATTCAATTAATATGTCAATACTAGTCAAATATGGAAAATTAACAAGCATTAAACACTAATTTTAACTTGTCTAGTAGCTGTTGGGTGCATGATGCAAAAAACAGAAGATGCATATTTGATTTTGAGGCCTACCTGGTTGGGTCATAATTATAGAAGCAGTTATTTTATCTTTCTAGTCTGACTTGTTATTGGTTCACCTTAATTGTCAGCCAATGGTTAAATTACAGTGAGGTTATGACTGAGGTCATTATTCAACGTTTATAAACCTAGGATGCAGTTTCCCACACTTTTTGGCTCGACAGCGAGAATAGAACAAGAACACAGCAAACAGACTTCTACTGTACAGTTTAATTTAAACTAGTGTGGGAACGGGTTGTATACCACATCAAACATCGATATAAATGCGTGAACGAGAACTAAGTAATAGGTTAATAACTAAATAACAATAACTGAGAGAAGGCAAGAGAAAGAACAGTATTGTGTACGTCAAACGAAAGCTTACAGGCAGGATAATGTTAGGGTACAATTGGTCAAGTGTCCAATAGTTATGCAATGAAAATATAAACAATAGTTCTCTGTAAGATAGTTCCGAAATTTAAAACACGATATTCTCTCCTATACAACAGTACTACGTATATGATACCTTTTATGACAGAATGCACAGCTCGAATACCTAACAAGTGGTCATTAACGTTTCAAACATAATTCAATTTCACCTGTTTTGATCTTCTATTTGTATCAACTTACATTTTAGCTTTCTAGAATGTTAATGAGAAACATACATCTTACCCCAACTTCTAAGATTAAACAGAAGACGTATCTTTGAAAGTAGTCTTTATTATGAAATGAAATTAGTAGGCAAACTGTAAGTAAATAAGGTGCCATTTGTATTCCTATTTATCACTTTCCACTAACAAACTACTTTAGTATTTAGTGGCCCTATATCTGACTCCAGTTAGATCGGATGAATAATTGCTACCGAGATAGACGTATCACCAATCCTCGTATATATTCATTGACTTAACTAACGTTAGTGAATAACGGAATCAAATAATTCAAATACGAGAATCGATTTCAAATACCTAAATTCCATACAATCATTGATCGAAAAGGGAAGCAAAACAAAACACCACGAGATGGAGGAGGCGAGTCAGCCAACTCGATTTAACCAAGAGTGAATCGATAATTATAGTCAGACAAATATAAGTTTCAAGGCATGTGATGGGTAAGATAAGAAATGCACACCCATACGCTCATATAAAAAAACAGTCAAGGTTGATAAGTGAATAATTAACAAGGTCAAAATGTCACCCAAGAAAGATAAATAGATTGGCTTGTCCAGAAGCTAGAATAAACTATGTGGGTTAACATAGCAACCGACACCACAAGTACATTAAATCATAAGGGAAACGAGATACCAGTTAGCTGATAATTTCAAATCCTGAAATTGGTTCACTATTCACCACATTTATCATCCCGTTCACCGTGAAATTTGTTATGTTTATATTTATTAGTCTATTTTGAGCAACTAACGTGAATTGTCTACAAATATAACATTTATTGAGATGATATTCTCCGTCCGAGTATATCTACTCTGTAAAATCATTTTCACAACAAAAATATTATTATTGTTAAGTTATATAACTGGTTTTGTGGAATTCATGCTCTAAAATGACCCTAATTATTAGTTGTAAGGATTTCTACTATATTCATTGCCAGTTTGATCAGTATATATTCACATGTACACTCTTTAAACACGTATAATTTAAACACATTGGTGTTTATTGTTATTTAATAGCCCTATGAACAATGATCTGATCTTCCGAGTGATCGGTAGTAAATTCCATTCTTAGTAGAAATATCGGCCAGACTCTAATTTATGGATGAGTCAATCAGAGGCGTTTTAGATATTACAAGGTTACGGCGCAACTTCGGTGCTCAATGCTAACTTACAATCGGTTCACTGGGAATTTTGTACAAAACGTGATAACTGAGTGGCTATAACAAATAAAATGGCGAGACTATAATTTGTGGACGAATCAATCAGGTATAAGATAATAGATCTCGAATTTTAACACGAAATCCTTTCATCCATTTGGCTAAATAAACTTCTGGCATTATAGATGATGTTAGTTCGTGATGAAAACTCCATACATAATTCCTAACCAAAGCGAATTACGACAATTATCGCGAACTGGATTATAAAAGCACCAGTAACACTGGCTGCAGCCAGGTACTACAATATATACGGATGATTGGAGACCGTGCAGACTCCTACATAGGTTTGTTTATATGCATCGTGTCGTTATCCACAAGTAGCATTTTGTGCACTCAACAACTGGAGTACACACAAACAATATTGAAGCTATGTGGTCAAGGCTGAAAGAGTTTTTGAGACTTTATCATGACTCCAGTGGCTGACTATTCGGTAGCCGTATGGATGATTTCCTCTACTGCATGCACTATGATTTTAGAACCTCTGAACCTCTTTCTAACGTTGACAAGTTTTTGAACCACGTATAAGAAGTGTATCCACTTTATTTCCTTGGTTTTGTATAATATATTTTTACTCGATACTGACTGTTTGCTGATTAACTAATATTTCTCAAGGTCACTCAAGATTCGTTCAAAGGTCGTCCATAAATTAGAGTCTTGCCGAAATACACTCATTTGACAAGTCCTAAACATGCAGAAATATCAGTTTTCTATTCGGATGCTATCATCTATACAAAGTATAATTAGAACGTACACTTTTTTTTGAAAAGTTGACTCAAGGATAGTAAAATTATTCATCTATTTCAGCAAGATCAACTATATTACATGATCTCAAATGGAGATTATTAGAAAATCTACAGAACAGAGATACATACATACATACATACATACATACATACATACATACATACATACATACATACATACATACATACATACATACATACATACATACATAAGAACAGTACCAAACATACTGTGATGTAATAAACAAGCTGAAAGTATTACTAATTATTCAATGTCATTATTCTATATTACTATCATCTTTATGTAGTTGATAGATAAAAAATACTTGAATCCCATTTGAAATCAAGATAGTAATCACATCTAAACACAACTATCACATCGAATATCCTAAATCATTTGAAGAAACGCACAATAATTGGGGAATAGATTTAACCAACTAGTGAATATGAAAGATAAATGATGAAATCCAAATGAAGTAGGTGAATACTATCTTTCATTGTTCTAATTCTATGATAATGGAGGATGATGTTTATCAGATATTTTATGTATCGTTAAACCTGCTGTGATCGGTTCAATATCATTCTTTAAAAAAAAGAGTTATAATAACAACGATCATGACAAAACAACAATAATAATAATGGATAAATCGGTTACGTAATACATGTGTTATGTAATAATCAATAAACAGGACAACATGGATACACAATATTGATGATTACCATTCGTTTGATAAATACACATTAGGTCATATTGAATGAAAAATAGATTTTAAAAGAAAAGAACCCCGTTAAATTCAAAGTTACTATTCTTTAATGAATAGAGATTGTAATATAATCTCAAGTATAAAAAGAGATTGAATAAAAAATTAATACAAAACATTCAAATTTAAGGTTCTACATCTATACTCACACATATGATCTACTAGGGATTGATTGACATGAGTACTTTCAGGTTTCATAACAATCATCATACTTTTGAACTAGTAGAATGGATAATGTTTTACTTATTTTGATCATTTATGAACTCAAGTTCATAATTTACATATATATATCTATATACTACTTATGGCGCTTCTCATTGCCTTCTGATTTCAAACATCGTTGAGATTTTATATTCTAACGGTTATCGAGGTGAATGATTAACGAAGTAAATCCACTAGAGATTTTCTTAAGGAATCATATTGATATAGTTCGAATCTCAGGACTTGAATCCATTCAGAAGTGAACGACCTAATAGAAAACTTTCATTCGTTTTTTCCCTCAAATTTGAAATGAATAGGAAAAATAACAAATTCAGAATGATTCTTATTAAATTTAACGATTAACTATAACATTTCTAAATGTAATATCAATGTGAATATCTTTTTGTTCTCTTTTTTTGAATAAACATTCTCATGTATCATATGGGTTTTATGGATATTATAGTAGTTTCGTCCTATTGTAGGACTCTTCAGCAGTGAGCATGCACGACCCCCCCCCCTTGGGTTCGAATCTCGCAGGGGGCGAGGTCGTGGATGCACACTGCTGAGGAGTCCCACAATAAGACAAAACGGCCGTCCAGTGCTTCCAGGTTTCCCATATATGTCCAGTAGACTGTTTATGTATATGATTAACCCAGAAAGATGAATTAAAAGTATTTTATCCAATGGAAATTCCCATTCAGACATCTAGTAAAAAGATGAACTTTGATTCACTTTCTTTAATAATCCTTCTATATATATATATATATTTACCATACAACTATAAATATGAATATATACAGCTCAAGTAATTGATTTCGTCGGAAAGAACATTTTCTTCGCTGAATTCTCCTTGCCTTTATTCAACAACTCATTGGGTTATTTTAATTGTCTAATCGCCCATGAAATTATATACTATATATATATGCTCTGTTCGTCTTCTTACCAAAAAGACTATGATTAGATTTTTGTCAAGGTTTCACTTCAATAATTGATTAAATGGATTACATTTCTATATCATGTTGTTTCAAAGACCTGAACTGTTTACTGCCAAGGTTGTAGTCGAACATATTTCTTTGCAATAAATATGAATGTCTTAATTACTATCTCAATATTAATAAATAATCTTCAAACTATAGGATCTTTTTGTGAACTAGTAACTTATATTATGTAGACTTACCATAACTGATAATTCTAGATCTCCAAGACCTGCATCTCTTGTGTCTACTTGGAAAGAAGTCGGTTGAGTAGCTGGAAGTCCTAATGGACGAGTTGGATGAACACCTTCACCTGTTACACGCACACGTTGTGGTTCAAAAGCTGGTAAAACATGTTGAGTGAATGGTGATCGAGCTACATGATTTCCTGCTTGTTTAACTTCAATTTGACATGGACCATCGGTATCTGGAACATATGTCACATCGTAGACACCTGGTTGATTTGATCGTGGAACAATATGTGCTGGTGTTGTTCTTCCAACACGATCAACTGTTGCAACCTAAGTTTTATAAATAAGAAAAATGAAGAAAAGTTTATTAGTAAGTGAATAAATATTATTTTAGGATTTGTAGGCTTAAAAGGAAGAAAATATAGGCGTGGGATGTTGTGTAGTGAACCTATAAATAAACTACGGATAATAAATCCATTTTTATACTATTGAACAATTTTGTTATTATGCTCTTGTCTGAAGTGCATTCACTAAATACTTTTAGCGCATAAATATAATTTTTATCTTTTAGGACCAATTATTATGGTCTTACACAGGATGAACCATTAATTTCATTATTACACTTTGTTTATTATTGTCTTGATCCTTATTATTTGACTTGTACGCGTTGTCTCAATAACTCCGCCTGGAGTTCCTCTGGGGACTACCGCCAGTCCCAAGCCCGGATAAAGGGGGAGGGTTGGGGATGAGGTTAGCCGCCCCATCTCAATGCCCATTGTCTGGGCCTCAATTACTAAATGATCCAACTGTAGTGCGAAATAACCTAAAACTATATATATTTTTTGAATATTCTAACGTATATAAGTAGGAATCAGAATTCGTTGATTTACATGACTTGAAAGATATTGGAAATAATATAATTTAATTCAAGAAACAGTTTCGACGGAGATGTTTTGACATCAACATGTTTATCTAAACACAAATAATAGTGACCAGTGGAGTTCAACCAGGTCTCTTGAGACATAGTAACTCACCGAAGACAATGGTGAATGTGTCGCTCAATTTCGTGGATTAGTTGAAGTTAAACATTAACACCGTCGGATGCCGGCTCAGTGGTCTAGCGGTTAAGCACTCGCACGCGAAACCAGTAGGTCCTGGGTTCGAATCTCGAAGGGGGCAAGGTCGTGTATGCGCACTGCTGAGGAGTCCAACAATAGGACGAGACGGCCGTCTATTGCTTCCAGGCTTTTCATGGTGGTCTAGCTTCAACTGACTCATAATCTTAACCATTGAAATTACAAATAATTATGAATCGAGTGGTAAAGGTCTAGAGTTAAGTTTTGTCCCAACATAAACGAAGCCTTGTATTTTTAATAAGATCCATATTAAATAAATTTTATGTTGAGTGTAATTATTAACCTAAATTGAACCCTGTGGGCTAAGCAAGTGTTTGAGTATTATGTGAAATAAATTACTATTGTCCTTCTTTTTTAGACTGACATCAAATGTAATATATTTGAAGTCAGTCAATATGATAACCTGAATCTAGGTTTTATGTACGTAGGGACTAATCAACAAAGGGATGAGTAACTCATACTTCAAGGGTTTACCATAGCATGAATTTCATTCAAAACCTATTGTGCGTTAAGTATCTATGATTAAAAAGCCAACATTTTCAGCGTCCTGTCGTTTGGTTTATTTATACCACAAAGTATATACATGAATAAGCAAAACTCTTCATCATAATTAGGAAGCATGTTTGGACATTAATCTGTTCGTTTCCAAGCCTTGTTTTTACCGCCTACACAAAGAGCCTGGCCTTTTATTTTAAGACTGTAGGCAGTATTCTTTCTATTCATGGCTTATTGATTACAACCTACACATGTAATAGGATTCTTTTCTATCATAAAATTGTGCCAAATATTTATTCTCATTGGTTGAAAAAAATGTCAAGTGGTATTTTGTTGTTGTTTTTTTGTAGGCCCAATATGAATGATAATTCAATGTCCGTACTACTATATTTAGTATGCATTTTGAAATGTGCAGTACTGTAACTGATAGCCATAGGCAAGTATCACTAGTATCATTAGTATAAAATCTCATAGCTTGCTTTCTATGAAAAGCAATCCTAGCATCAAAGATATTACAATAAGGAATTGCGTCATTTGTTATTATTTGGAGTAACCCGTTGTTAATTGAATTTTGACCAGTCTAAGTTGTGCATCCTATGCGGAATGTCTTAATACAGCTATCATGTCACAATATTACAATGGATAGAATGTGATTACGAGCGGAATCCAGAATTCAGATTTTAACTTTATTAGAACTCGTCAACTGGACATATAAGAATTGATATTCGTCCCGGTGCTTAGGCACATTAGCTTTGGCTCCAAACGCCAACGCATTATCCACTTAGGGTCCCACTATTCTACATATAGAGATGTGTAGACTTTATACTCAAGAGATTTTTCAAACAACAACTGTTTTATGTAGTTCTAGATTCTGTAATTATAAATTCATAACTGTTAGATTATGGTGTACAGTGATTAGAAAAAATCTAAAAGTTATAAGTGAATGAGCTAAGGTTATTTATTGAGAATAACGGATTTCACATTTCATTAAGACAAAAATGTATCCTTTGTAAAATTCGAAGGTTACAAAAGAAGAGATTAAGAGAAAGTCATTCATCTAGCCGGATGAGTTATAATCGATAGAGTAAGATCACGTTAATACTTACACCGATATAAGATGAATCAATAGAGATGAAGCACATTTAAGAGTGTTTTATTGGAATAGGATAGGACAAAGACACATATGAAAGGGTGTTGAGGATTAGAATCTATTGTATGCAGTTTAGCCCGAAGTGTAAATAGTTATCGAATCATTCTTTCTGGTTTGGTTGGTCATAAAACAATTTATTCAGCAACGGAATCCTTTTCACTTGGTTTATTTTCAAAGATGCATAATCGTCCATGTGTGATAAATTATAGATCAACAAATAATATATAGTAATTACAATAATTGAGATCCTGAGTCAATTGAGGCTAGACCACCATGGAAAACCGGGAAGCACTGGACGGCCGTTTCGTCCTATTGTGGGGCTTCTCAGTTGAAGTTAGGCATTAACACCGTTGGATGTCATCTCAATGGTCTAGAAGTTAAGCGTTCGCGCGCTAGGCCGATATATCCTGGGTTCGAACCCCGCTACGTGGGACCGTGGATTCGCACAGATAAGGAGTCCCACAATATAATGAAAAGGGTGTCCAATGCTTTCAGGTTTTCCATGGTGGTCTAGCTTAAACTGACTCATGATCTCAACTATTGAATTTGTTTATTTGTTAGAATTTTATAGATAGTGAAAATTAGATTAAGAAGGAAGCTTATTTTTTTTCATATTAGATCACTTACCAACTGTTCATTTTTCTATATATCAGAGGTTGTCACCATACATAACAAACATTTACTTCCAAACAACTATGTATATCTCTACCCCTCTTACGTTGTGTTTCATCTTCATTCATATGGGATCGTGATCAATCTTATTAAAGTAATTCATAAGTAAATTCTTATAACCTATAACTGGTTACACTACCATAAAGTGGATGGATTTTAGCACAGCAATATATTAAGCAACAGAAATCTTAATTTATTTACGATTTTTAAGGAAAGTTATTAGATAACTCTGAATAATTACTTGGATAGGCGCATCTCCTGCCTGTGAAGCATCGACAGTAAAGTGAGCTGGTTGTTGCGCTCGTGCTCCTCTAGGCTCTAGACCTGGACCATAACAACGAACACGAGTTGGGTCAACCACATCTCGTATGGGAACTTGAAATGGACTACCTGTTGGAAAACAAAATAAATGAAGTTTTGTTTATAGTAAATTAGTGATTAGGCTTAAAGAACGAAGATTCCTTAAATGGAAGTAATAATTAGTTCGACCACTTTTATTTCTTATTTGTTGCCTGTGAGATTATTTATTAGTCACCAAATGATTGAGCAATCATAAGTAATGTATGCCATAATCTGAGAATCTTATGAACTTCTGTTTTATTATTAACTTAGCTAAATACTCTCCTCTAATTGACTAGTTCATTAAGGAACTACTACTAATTATATATATCGGTTAAAGTGGAAACAGTGAAAATGAGAAATCTGGTGAAGATTAGCTTTAATGGTAAGTACCAATGAGAAGAAAGCATATATCAAAAAGTTATCGCAGATTTTGTCGATCATTCAAGAACCATTAGTTTTCTATTACTAATCTATGAAACCTAACAGTAGATGGTTGAGCATTTATACCTTGGCGTAACTTCCAAATATGAAATTTATTTGTAATCATCTAACAAAGTTCTCATTGAACGAAATCCTACAATGGATTGCGGATAAATTTGTACATAAAAGTTACATGCATAAGTGTACCCATTACGAGTAAGACTCAATTATATCGGTGTCTACAATCCAATGGATTGTAAGTCTAGGAGAAGTCTAGGATACGCTTAATGATCACAATAATCAGGCAAGGGATTCTGATAACATGGAGCCAACTAGATGATTCTAATGCACATGTCTTAATTACAGTTACAGGTGTAATTATTTTGGACAAGTGTGGAACTAGTTTTTTCGGACTAGATGCAAGGGATTGTATTCTAGTTCTTTTGACGGAACACCGCTTATTTTTAGTCAAAATTAATTGTATAAGCAGTCATCTTTAATGTATCATTATCCTGCGTCTCCCACTTTCTATTTAGTTGTGTACTTAAGTAATATCATGTCACAATCAGTTATTGATGGGATTGGAAAATAATTAACGTTGGAGAGTTCGTTGCACTTGTATATGCACCCAAATATTGAACACAGCCAAACGTAAGGTCAGGTAATACGTTTTGGGCATCAACTGTACTTTAAAGGTATCATCAGTGTGGAAAACAAACCCACATTCAACTATGCGAAACACAAATAATATAAACACTGTTTAATCCAAATCAAATACTAATTTATAAGTAATTGTGTCATAAAAATCCCTGTAGAAAAAAGTTCAACTTGCCTGGAATATTCATATCATTAAATTTAACAAAGATATCATATGTTCCTGCCCGTGTCGGTAAGTAGTCCACTGTACATGTTCCATCTTTATTATCCTGACATTGTATTTGCGCATCAGCTGGCCCTTCTAAAGCTAACCCAAGGGCACCTTGACCCGCACCATCTAAGTCGACCGTAAATCTTTGAGGCTCATGAGTGAAGCCTCCTTCTAAACCTGGACCGTAAGCTCTTACTCTTGTTGGATCACATCCAGGAGCAACATTTACTGGGAAGGGACTACCAGGTACCGGTGCTCCATCATATGTAACTTCAACGTGATGTAAGCCTATAAGAAGTTAAATTTTAAAAAAAATGACTGTTTACTTTTGCATGGATTTCAATGATTTGAAATGCATTAGTTTTAATTTGTTGTTAATAATTAACGAAAATCATGGGCAAATATTTTTGTGAACAGGCCGTGATATTAAATCTAACATTTACTCATTCTTTTAAGTTTTGCTTTTCCAGGTAACTTTTTAAACAAAACCATACTTTTGTGGAAGTTAGAAGGCCCTTGGTTAACAGGATGATATCTATATAAATATGCTAGAAAATATTCATAATCATGTTTCGATGAAGTTCTTAAAAGTCAGAGTTCATAATGTAGTGAACAAGAACACATATTTCTACAGAACCATACGGTAGATACTTCATTTGCAAAGTATCAAACAGTTGTCTTAAACTTGACTGTTCCTTCATTTTCATATCAATCGTTTTCTGTTCCCGTTCTTCCCTTTCCGATGTTCTCAATCTTCTGCTACCAGACACTATATTCATGACTCACGTTATATACTACTTATGTCAATATAAGTAGCACATAGAATTTATCGATTCATCCTTTAAAGTTATAACCATAGAAATTAATTTTATAGGATAATGTAAATAAACGAAGATACATTGAACTAATCAAAATCTCTTTTATATACTTACCATCATCTATTGGTGAATAACTGCATTTATATGTTCCATCACCATTATTTTGTATTAAACATGCTGTTCTTTGTTTATTCGGACTAACTACAATCGCTTTAACTATTCCTCTACTTTGTGGATCAACCGCTTTAGCATCAACTGTGAATTTAGCAAATGATTCTTTGAAAACACCTTTAAAATGGAATAATAATAAAAGATGATGTTCATTAAAGTAGTAATTTGTTTAATCATCATTTAAATATTCAGAAAACGAGCATATTTTCCATATTTAGAATGACAAACATGCTTTATGAATACAAATACATGCTGATTGATTTCATCAAAGTTCTTTGTCATGCAACATCATTGTCAGATCTTTTATAGGAAAATTTAATTAAAGAGATTTATGTAACGGAATCATGCAAATTAGAAATTTTTAGCATTCTCTGTTGATTTTGCCTACCAGTTGGTTGTAATCCAGGACCGTAGGCATGAACTCGGGATATATCGATATGTTCTCTTCCAGGTGGAGCGACTCTTACAGGGAAAGGACTCCCTTTAATATGTGTATCTTTGTATAAAACATTTACAACATATGGTCCTGGTTCAGTTGGTAAATAATCTACGCCACATGTTCCATCACCATTATCGTTATAATTTATTTTAGCTTCTGCAGGTCCTTCAATTGTAACACTTAGTGGAGCAGGTGGAGCATCTTGACTATCGATTGTGAATTTTGCCTGCTTTCCAGCTATTGCACGATAAAGTCCGTCACCATATGCACGGACCAAAGCTGCTGCTTCAGGTCCAGAAATAGGTGCTGAAGTAGCCTGCTGACGTCCGAAATCTTTTGGATAGATAGGCTCTTGCACTGCAGCTGGTGGAATGGCGTTTGTACGAAATGGACTACCTTTGACTGGTACACCTCCAACTTCAACAGCAACAGTATGAGGCCCAACAACAGTTGGTGTAAAGGAAGGTGTATATCCATCAACGCTTTCAGCTAAAGTGCATGGTACACGCATACCGTTCGGAGATTTCACTGTTACAGTTGGTTTCGGTTTACTATTATTTGGTGGGCCTGCACCCGCAGTTATCACATCAAACTCAGTTGGTACACCAGTAGTAATAGCTGATTTACAAAATAAAGATATTAAATTTATTTACATACAGGATTTACTTCCATGGATATTATCAGAGATTTTCCATATTAAAATTATACTAGAAGTAAATATATATTCACTGTTTAAAAATCATGTGAACTACGAACTACCAATGAACTACCTTACCTGACCATGTAATTGCTGAATATTTCAATGATATATTTCAGTTAATAACCACATTCCATGTAACAGTAATACTATCTTTTTACAAAACTTGTATTTATAGGACAAGAAATATGGGGTATTGTTTGTAAAAGGAGTTTCTGGAGATTGTTGTATTTTATAACCAACCTCATGGGCTGATCTTGGCTAAAAAACTATAGAAAATAAGGAACCACTAACAGGTGTTTAGGTTTAATATGGGGCTCTTTAGTAGTGTCCATACTAGGGAATCCAAGACCTTATGTCTCACACTTAATTTCTAGGCTACTGAGACGGGATCCAATGGTTTATATGCCTAATTTTAGTCGCTTCACAGTACCGAGCAACCCTCTTCCGTCGCCTGCGATGAATAACTGTGGATAAATCTGAAGATTATGGGATGGTCTAAAAAAAATAAATACTGCATAAAGATGCATATCACTAAATACTGAACATTTTGAACAAACAATATAAAATATTTATTTTACTGTATACTTTCTATTTGAAACGTCAGCCACTAGCTACAGTTCACCTTTACCTACTAGAGATAAAATTTTAAATCATTTAGTTTATAAAGATTTTCCCAATATTCTATGGGATCTATCCATCCCATTTGTACTTTCACTACTTCCTTGAAAATGTTTGGATGATGTACTAATGTTGAAGAGATTTTAGCAGTGTTGAAAGTTGTCTAAAGAATATTGGACAGTGTATAAAGTGGATGAATTCTTGGGAATAATATGGTTCATCCAAAACACGTAATTATATGTCAGTATGAAATTGTGGAGATTCCTGAATTTGATTGGAATCACTAACCGATCTGAGACAACCATTGATAACCTGTTGGCAACTGGATGGGTATTTCATCCTATCGAGGGACTCTATAGCAGTGAGCATCCTGAAATCTGAACTCTGGGAACCTTCGATATTACTAGTGACTAGCTCCGAGAGGAAATTTCCGGAGTTCTTGTGAGAAGTTATGACTAATGGAGTTCAACGGTGTTGAGTGTGAAGAAAATACCTGCCAAAAACAATGCAAAATGTTCGCTCAACATTTTGAATCGATTAAAGTTAGACTTATACACCACTGGATCCCGGTTTAGTGGCTTAAAAATCAAGCATTTGTGTGTGGAACCAAGGCCCCAGAGTTCCGTTTTCGTGTGCAGGGTCATGGATGGGCACTGCCGAAGAATCCCACGATAGGATGAAACAGCCATCCGATGCTTATATATTTTCGATGGTTGTCTAATCTAGAAGGATTCATGATTTTGATGTAGTCTGATTGTATATTAAAGAAAAGTTTTGTAGACATCGGATAAGTTAAAAAATATATACAAAATGTCAAGCGTTCTTATTAATGAAAAGTTATACTTAGTAAATAAGTAATAATAAGTAGTCGTCCAAAAATCGTCCATATATTATAGTCTCACCAACAAACGTCACAAAGCTAATGTTTCACTGTGTAAGTACAACCACTTGGTAATTCTTTAATTGATTAAAAGTATTGAAAACAGAGGGACTAAGTAACATTGTTTCTATGATCTAGTTAGTTGAATTCTCTTTAACAAATCGTATTAATATCAAAAACTACAATTTAGTTTCATCTAAACCCCCAAATGCCCTGGTATGGCCGAGAGTGGGAAGAGTCCACTCTCCCTCTTGAAATGCTCTCACACGGCCACGCGTATACAGCCTCTGCCAGGGACGTCCTACTCACTGCCTTCTCGTGGCGAGGTTGTTGTTGGAAACCGGAAAGTACTGGATAGCTAATCTAAAAATCTTCAACAGTGAATACCTTCAACTATATCAAGGAGAGAATCCAAGATCTTCAGTCATGGAGACTTGCATAGAAAAAAAAGAACAGAAATTCATATTCTCATATTATTGATGCATCATCAGATACAAATAGAAACTGGTATATTTCCATATATTTAATGGCTTCATAATTAAGAGAGTTTAGTATTTTAGTAATCAACCATTCATGATATTAGTTAAAGAAGGAAAAGTACACTACGAAATAATACAACACTATTGAAACATTAGTATAAATGAAAACAAACTTTAATATAAATTACTTGGTTCAAGATTTTCAACATGAATTTTCGACATATCGATATTTGGTTTAACAGGTACTTTAAATGGACTACGTGGAACTTCTTGATTATTGAAAAATACTTGTACAGTATAATAAGGCCCCGGTGTATTAGCTGTATAAGCAACTTTAAATGTTCCATCTCTCATATCCTGTGTATCCATAGCAACATCACGTCCAGCTTCATCGGTGACACTAATTCCGACATTACCTTCATTTAAAAACAAAGTAAGTGGAATATCATTGAAAGTTATTTAAAGATTATAGCACTTCATGATTTGATGGGACAGCTTTAATGTAAACTGACAATGTTAGGCTTTGAGTTGAAACGTGGTTTCACTTGAGCACATCTGGGAAGCCAAGTTTTATTATATACGCTTAAATAAAAGCGTAACATAGAAACATGTACATTAACCTGCGATTCGTTTCTAATTATTATTATTACTACTATTAATATAATTAGCAATGAGTGAAATTAATACACCATCCCAATAGAATTTCTCTGATTTATGTACGAGTAAGGGCATACAACCACATTTCTCCATTGTTCCCTTCAAGCACTGAGGTTAGCTACGGTTGCCCAATCTCACCATTCCTCTTAAAATTTGCTATCGATGACGTTCTGGAAACGGATTTGATGGATGTAGGTAATGGTGGTGCGAGTCTTTTGCCTGAAGAAAGACTTCCTGACCTTGAGTATGAGGATGATATCGTCTTACTTTGCCATGCAATCCGCACTTAATCAGTTGGCAATTAGTGTCCGTAGGTATGGTATGTATTTCGCACCTTTTAAGTGCAAAGCACTTCTACAAGACGGTCAGGACCCTGATCCTGCACTTACCCTGGGAAGTGAGCAGATAGAAGTAGTCGAGAAGTTCGTATACTGGGTATCTGCATAAGTGCTGGTGGTGGCGTGAGTGATGAGGTCAATGCAAGTATAGTGAAAGCCAGAGCTGCTCATGCCAATCTCGGTCATCTTTGGCGCCTTCGTGATATTAGTCCGACTGTAAAAGGTCGGGTCTACAACGCATCAGTAAGAGCATGTTTGCTCTATGTTTGTGAAACCTAACCTCTTCGAGTTGAGGATGTTAAACGACTCTCGGTGTTCGATCATCGCTGTCTCCGAAGGATTGCTGACATCCAGTGGTAACACCATGTTAGTAATTTAAAGATTTGGCATCTTATGGTCGGGCAGAGCCACAAAAATTAAATCGGTGTCACTATCTTGAAACACAGAATTCGGTGGCCTGAACGTGTCCTGTGAATGACGTTCCAATGAATTCCACATCGTGCATTATTTGCTGGCACTGGAACTGGTTGGAAAAAGCGGAGAGGTGGTCAGTATATGATATGGTGTCGTGGCATGAAAGATGTACAAGCCTGGTATCTATTGATCCCTCACAACTCCCTAACTGGGGTACTAGAGATGGTACAACACAATTGCTGTAGACGTTGTAGGATATGTTTCAGAATAGAAGTCAGTAGAGATCTTGCTATAACTTTATTTTACTTTAGAGTTAGTAAGTGTAACTTCTTTAACTGAAAGAATTCTTTCAGGTCGTATTCTTCTTAACTGAACTGTTTCTCCCTTTATCATTATTTTTTTATTGTTTCACTCTCATACACTAATTCCTACCCATTTTTGTGCTTTTTTATTATACTCACCTTTTCACTATCTCGTCACAATCTCATTTTTATTATGTAACCCTTGAATATTTTGGTGCCTCCATGCACCAATGTTTATATGTTCAAACAAATAATAAAAAAATTCACAAAGTAGATCTGTAATTTTTGTCAACGTTGTACAACACTGTACAGAGCTTTTTATTTTTTTGATCGAACACATCTGGGCTTGGTAGATTTCTTATGGCGATCAGTTCAGGGTGGGATGCAATTCCATACATGAGTCAATTGAAGCTAGACCACCATGAAAAACCTGGAAGCACTGGACGACAGTTTCGTCCTACTGTGGAACTCCTCATCAGTGCGCATCTACGATCCCGCCCCACGAGATTCGAACCCGGGACCTATCAGTCTCGCACGCGAGCGATTAACCTGTAGACCACTAAGTTGGCATTCAATTGACTCGTGAACCCAACTATAAAATTACTAAGGTCTCCACAAAACTCCTTCTGATAAGAATGCAATAAACTGTGGCAAGAATTCCAACTAAATTATAGTGTTAAAAACGAAAGTGTAGTAAAGGAATCTTACCATGTCCAGCCTGTTTACAGTCTACTGTGAAATAGGTTGGTTGACCTCTAGTAACATTTTCTACACCTGGACCGAAAACTCGTACTTTTCCTGGATTACTAGGTTCAGCTACTTCAACCTAACGATAGTAAACAGATATATATTAATTAATAGATTTAACATGAAATCATTCTTATTTGAAACTTAATGATTGTTGAACTAAATAAATTAAATATTTTCTTATGTTTTTGATAATGTAATTCACATTACATTTGACAAGTCATGTATATAATCTCAACTAATTAAAAATAGTTAGCACCCAAATGCCCTGGTACGGCCGAGAGTAGGGAGAGTCAGCTTTCCCTCTCTCTCCAAATTCTCTCATATCGCCACGTAAATACAACCACTGTCAGGGAAGTCCTACTCACTGCCTTCTCGCAGCGGGGCTGTTGTTTACGAAATTGACAGGACGAAAAGCGAATGTTCGACGCTTTAACAGGATTGGTGTATATAAAGAGTTCACCTATGGGAACTGAAAAACTGTGATTCGTAACATGGGCTCCAGTATCCAGAAGTAACAAATGGCATATGAACCAATCGTTCGTCACCGGATACCATAGGACTGCATCTACTTACATTGCTCTACTGCTTTGTGGATTAGACATCTAAGTCAAAGGATTTGAGTATAGCCCCCTAAGAAAACCACTTGTTTCGGTTTGGGTACTCGGATAGTATCCCATCCCTTACACAAATCGATTGATTTATGTAGCGCATATCTATTTGGTGCCTCCTTTTACCAATGTTTGTATGTTTAAATAAATCAAGTTAGCACTAAAATACCAAGTAATTAATTATCAATTCACAAACGTAATTAAATCTCATATAAATTTAGCTGAAACTAGTTTAAAGTAAAAACTAGTTTTTTGAAACAAAAATATGTCACTGAATGATAAAGCATTAACTTTCAAAAAACAGAATACAATTTACATGCACTACTGATATATATTTCCAATAAATGAATATAAGGGTTATATATTAGTGTGAGGAATGAGGATTAGGATTTACAGTTGATAGTTAGGGTTAAGAATTAGAACTGGGGATGCAATTCTCCGCCTTGAAATGCGAAATTTTGCTTCAGGATTGGGTTGCATCGAGACCCGAACTAATGATAGGGAGTGAAGTAATTGAACGTGTCGACCGCTTCAATTATCTTGGACAATTGCACCTCTGTGGTAATGTGGGTGTGGCAACGCGAAATGATGAACCTACGTACGAAGTTCTACGTTGTTACTGACTGACTGATATCACCAACTAAAATGCCAAAATGGTATTTAGGCAAATGGATGAATGAATTTCGAGCCAAAATCCAATGCCTGTTATCGTAAACCTGGTTGGTTTGTCCATAAATTATAGTTTCGCCAAAAGTTATATAAGTCTGAATGAGATAAATATGTGGTGACTAAAGAATATTTCTTCCATTTTAAATTTATCAACAATAAAACCTACCCTGAAAGGACTTCTAGGTATATTGACTCCACCGTAGGAAACAAGGACTGTGTGTTTTTTAGGAACTTTAGGTGTATAGCTACATGTATAAGTACCATCGCCATTATCACGAACTTTCAATGCAACTGGTTCACCTTCATTGTCTCTGCATTCAACTGTTAATGGGGCAGGACCACCAGAATCTCTAATATCTACTGTAAATTCAGTTGGTTGACCAGCAACGTTCCCAGTTGGCATTATACCTGGTCCATGTGCTTTAACCTATTATAAGATTTATATTAATACAATTCATTTTATGTTCCATCGACTAATTAGTAAATAAAGTATCATATATTCTATATGTGACTTACTCTTTCAGGATCACATTTACCCATATCTGGTTCAATTGGAACCATGAAAGGAGATTTTGGTATATTTTCATCATTACATAAAATATGAACTGCATATTCACCAGGAGCTGTTGGCCAATAAGCTACAGTAGCTGATCCATCTCCATTATCTGTACAATCAATTCTTGCTTCACTTGGACCTTCGATTGAAAAACCTTCAAATGAAATGGAAAAGAAAAAATTAGTTACACTGAGATTATATTTGAAAATAATGAATAATGTAACTCAGATTACTGTATAGTATGATGTATATACACCGATTTTAATAATCAATAGAGGTAAGTATATCTTGTCCTTTAAGTAGTTTAACATGACATTTTGAATGGAGTTGATAGTTGATATTCATTTTTTTAAAAATTCCTTAACATAGTTTATTTCTATTCTATTTCAAGAGTTAAATTCCTCTAGAAGAAGACTCTATTATTAGAATCTTTATCATTACTTACTTACTTACGCCTGTTACTCCTAATGGAGCACAGGCCGACGACCAGCATTCTCCAACCCACTTTATCATATTCAGTTTAAAAACTACATATATATGAAATGGAATTATTATTATTACCTTGATTCAGTATTATGTTTTTAGTACAATATAAAGATCTTAACACAAAGTATTTCAATAAGTTTACCTTTCTTACTTCTCTGATCGATCCTGATGATGAATATTTAGTGATCACCAGTTAGACTTGTTAGTAGTTCATTCAATCGATATTTAAAGAATGTACATTATTTTTGTTAAATATTACCAGCAACTATGATATTTCTGATGAGACCTTTTGTAATTTGTACAACGAAAGGTTGTACACTTTTCAGAAACACATCTGAATAGGTTATGTGATTAATAAACATAATGATGATATATTAAAACAAACAAAAATAGATAACTTGGAAGTACTGGACGGCTGTTTCGTTCTATTGTAGGATTCTTTAACAGTGCGCATCCACGAACCCTGCTGAGGAGTTCCACAATAGGACGAAACGGTCATCCAGTACTTACAGGTTTTTCATAGTGGTCTAACTTTAATTGACTCATGATCTGAAGTATTAAAATTAGATAACTTATTGAAATATCTAGATGACAGGAACAGGTAACACAGATGTGCAAGCAGTTTTAAATGTACATTACGATATACATAATATTTATAGTATTCATCAAAATTGTACAGTTACACGTCAATTTTCAGAAAAATTTCAAAAATGTATTACATTCTAATTGTATATCCTCTCTCTCGCTCTCTTTATGTTTGTCTTTATAACTCACATCTAATGTTATTTCCGGTAGAAGACAAGATGATTTGAAAGCTTAGCAACAACAACAACAAAATCAAAATAAGCTTTTATGATGGACGAATTTTATATGTAATATGTTTAATGGATTTTCATTGAGATAATTTTATTATCACTCAGGAAACATGTACTTAACCTATATATATTTCACTTTTTTTTGTTTCTCATAGAAATATTATACTCGACGAACGGGTAGGACAATTACAGATACATATGTAAGTTTATTCAAGTATGTTAACTTGTAATAGACGTATTAGGCTAAAACAAAAAAAAATAGGGAGACTGTTTCATTTTGATGCTACACCCTATCTGATGTGTACATTACATATACTAATGTATATGTATATATAGTTCAGTTAATTTGTAAATGAAGCATAAATGTATGTAGGTTTTCTATCAATTCCTAGAACAGAGCCTAGATTATTGACAGTTGAAATAGACTGAATATATTGAGAACAGAATGTATTGAGTTGTAATATATTTATGTATTTCAATAGGTAAGTTTATATGATTCATTACTGAGTGTAGGATGATATTTAAATACGCATGATTACAGTTGAATGGAAGGATTATGATTAGAAAGAACTTATAGTAAATGATTACTAATAATAAGAATAGTAACTAACATTAATGGTCGTATTTTATGATAATATAGCTGTTGAGTAATATCCATGTGAATAATAAAATTTGTATAAAAGTAATATGACTGGCTTGAAGAGGTATTTCCTAGAGTTCTTGTAAGAAGCAGTGACCAATGGAGTTCAAACGAATCTGTTGTGAGATAGTAACTCATTGAAGATAATGGTGGATGTGTCACTCAATTTCGTGGATTAGTTGAAGTTAGATATTCACACCGTTGGATGCCGACCGGCTCAGTGGTCTAGTGATTAGGCACTCGCACGCGAAACTGATAGGTGCTTAGTTCGAATCTCGCTAGGCAGGATCGTGGATGTGCACTACTGAGGAGTCACACAATAGGATGAAACGGCTGTCCAGTGCTTCCAGGTTTTCCATGGTGGTCTAACTTTAATTGGCTCATGGTTTCAACTAATAAAAGTAATGTTTGCACGCAAATTGTTGCTTGTTAATGGTATCTATTTAGGTTATCCACAATATAATCTGTTTTGAGATGAAGTCTATGCTTCTAAATGAAAGGACTTGTTGAATTCAAATAAAAATGTCTGTTCATTAATTATAAAGTTTAGCGGATGTATTATGCTTGCTCATTCATCTGAGTTAAACTACACTTTACTGCTGAGACAATTCGAAACAAGAAAGTACTTGATATATTTTTTCAAAGATTCTAAAAGTCTAGCTTCCTTTCATCTTGTAAATACCTTCATAGAATATACCTTTATATTGACTGATCAATAAGTAGTGATCAGTATCATGTTCTTCTAGACTATTATACTAATCTAAGTTCTTTTATAGAGCTGGATCAAAAGCAAAGAAATATATGAAATTCATCAACTTTGGAAATTATTATCTTTATAGCTTTACTTATATCTGTGAAAGCCATTAAATGCATGGAATTTTTCTAATCGAATTCTATCGATCAAATTGCAATGTAGTCATCATTAGCTTAAGTGAATCGACACTGGATATAATGTGTTTAAATGTTATTGAGTTAGACAGCATCCCAAAGAATCCCCTTTTCTTGATAACGTACTACTTGCGAATACTTAGAATGGTGTCTTTACTACCTTGATGGAACTGATACCTAAATCTCTTAGGGTTGATAATAAAGAGTTCATTGTCTCATTAAATACTTAAGGTGGTATGGCGTGAAAATAAAATCACATGAAGCGCTGATTCCTCGTGATCGAGATTACATTCATAATGCTAATTGGAAGAAGATTCAACTCTTTTTATTTTACTCAGAGAGAACTTTCAACTAAATTATTATTCGCATTGGAGGTTTGTGGATATTGTTCATGTTTTCATATTTTTACATCACAGTTTGATTTTATTTAAGCTACTAAAAACGAGTAAGCACTAGACAGTTGCTTCTTAGTATGTAGCCGCCTAACACTGGGGATTCCCGGATCCATTGGCGATCTAACCTATTATCTCTAGTCTCGTGCACATGCTTTATCTCTAAACCACCAAGTTGGGATCGTTGGGTGAATATTTCTAACTTCCTGGTTTCCAAAATCTGTTTAATCAAGAACAATCCATGATGTAAGTTAAATTATTGTCATTCTCGACATGGTCAGGAGCTACTTTAAGTATACGATAATCTAAATTTCTTTACTAAACCACTAAGCTGTGAGGATTTAATCTCACCAACAGTCTACCTATTGTACCTAATAAAAACATTGGTTTAATTACTGTTTTTATCACTTTACCGATTATTTGTTTAGGTTTCATAATCATGAGATACAAAGTAATGGATGAACTACAGACATTTAGAGGAATAACATTTTCTATGTACTCTGTTGTTATTTTAATAAAAACAGCGAATTGATAAGAAATAGATATATAACTCACCTAAAGCCCCAGTTTCACCATTTGTTTCCACGACAAAAACAGCTGGTTTATTGACAACACCACCAACGAGACCTGGACCAAATGCTCTTATACGTGATTCTTTGTAAGGAGCAACTTCCACCTGTTATTTATATGTATGACAATAATGTTGAAATTTATAAATACTACTGTCAGTGAGAAGTCATCTGCATGTATATATGACTCAAATAATTGGGTCAGTCAATTTTAATTAACATAGGGGTTTAAATAAATATACGTTAGTTTGAGGTGTTCGCACAAAATGGAATTGTAGAGTTTATAATGAGAAAGATTAGACATTGAGGATACAGACTGAAAAGAAGGGATCTACTAAGGAATCCTGTAGCTCAAGATCTAGGCTGAAATAGAGTGGATGGATACGTACCAGTGTGATGGATTCTAAGTCATGATAATCATTTAGATAAAAACCAAGAAAAAAAGAAAACGTAATTTGTATTTATTACCTAATTATTATAAATCTGTCTATTTAGTCAGTAGATGTAACCAAGTCACGACAGTGTTCTTTCACTGAAATTTTACAAATACACTCTTCCTCTTTAATGTCTCATATCAACTTGGTGCCCAAATACTTTGAAACTATTCGATCAAATTTAGGCGAAAGTTCTTATTGATTATATTATAACTTGGTCAATAATAATGACAGCATATTGTACATGTTAGTTTTTACACACTTCTATGTTTTGACACATATATTATAGAGAAACAAAGGATAAAGTAACAATATTTTTTTACTTGACAATTATGCATGTATCAGAAAGGGTTTTGTGGATACTTTAGTAATTTTGATAGTTGAGATCATGAATCAACTGAAGCTAGACCACTATGAAAAACGTGGTATCAGTGAACAGCCGTTTCGTCCTACTGTGGGACTTCTCAGTAGTCTGCATCCTCGACCTCGCCCCGCGAGATTCGAACTCAGGACCTACCAGTCTCGCACGCGAACCCTTAACCTCTAAGGCCATTGAGCCGGCATGATATCATGATCTCAATTATGCATCTATAACTGAACACAAAATGTACATATCTATTTGATATAAACTATTTTTTTTTGTTTTTAATGAATATCTTTTCAATACTAGACTGAATGTATTCAACGAATAGTATATCTTTTAAAATTACTTACCGTAAATGGACTTAGCATAATATGATCTCCACCATATCGAACATTGACTTGATGTGTACCTGGTCGTTGAGGTGTGTAACTACAATCAAACAAATAGGCACCAGTTTTTCGACTTGTGCAAGGAATTCCTCTCCCATCTAAATGTTAAAAAGAAAAAAAAGAACTGTCAGTTCAACTAGATGTTTTGGTTATGCTACTTTCTGTTAGCTAATTGAGAGGCTTTCATTATCAGTCTGAATTAACTAGTCATGAAAGGAAGGATGTCATGGTTCGTAATGATAAATGTATGTATTATTGGAAATCTCGAAGTAATTCCTTCTTAAGGTACATTTTTAAACCACTTCAGAAGAGATAACGAACTGATCAATGTTAGACCATTGAAAACCTGGAAGCGTTGGACGGCTGTCTCATCCTAGCGTAGGGCTTCTCATCAGTGTGTATCCGCGAGCTCACTCGAACGGCTAACCTCTATACTATTGAGCCGACGTCCAGTGTTGACGCCTAACTTCAATCAGTCCATAGCCGACACAGTTGAACTCCATTGGTGACGGCGTGCTGCTGAGGAGTCTCAAACTAGGACGAAACGGCCTTTCAATGCATCTAGGTTTTCAGCAGTGATCTAACATTGATCAGTTCTTGGTCAGTCATCGACGTAACATTATCTTTGTTCAGTATGGTTGATAAGTTACTGCTTTAGTTTACGTTTAAGTGACGTTATGATCAAGTGCGTTCACTAAACGCGACACACACATGCATCAGTTAAAGTTACCACATCATATCAGTACAGCGATATGTAAGCGTCAGGATTATTACCAGAATAGGAGATTTTAGTAAAAGTATCAATGGCAGTAGAAAATATCAACCATAGACAATGTAAATCATAAAGAAAAATAAAGGATTCTCAGAAAATAAAGTATCTGAAAAGTGTAACTAGCATATCTCACAATCATAGTGAATACTAAACGAACGTTAACAGTTTAATAGCCAAAAAGATGATCATAATTAAATTCATAGCAGTCATATATCAATACATTTAAGTACATATCAATACGATCTAGTACACTTTCCATACATAAGGCTTAGTATTCAATAAATAAACGCATGACAAAAAACCAAATCACTCATCAGTTAGTCAGCTACAACATAGGACCAGGCACATATATGCATCGGTCTAAGTTGCCATACCTCATTAGCACAACAAGATGAACAACGAATTCATAGAAGTAGTTGATTCAGTGGTCATAATATATAAAAGAAAGATCGCATATGAAGACATAGTACAGGAAGAAAGAATTAGTTTGTAGGAAGAAAGATATGAAGCGAATTTAATCTCACAGTTTAAAGGAAAGCAGAGCATGCATACACCTACTCCATGTCACTCAGAGTCTCCAACCATTGATTACGATAGTCACACGGACCCCAACCAACTAGTGACATTATGGACTGATGCCATGTTTTAGTTTGGTTATCCCTAACTTTCTCCCAACTATCCCCAACATTAATTAGCATAGCAAAAATCACTCAGAAAACTAATGAATGAATTAAGAATACTATGTTGAATTGATTTAATAAGATTTCTTTCTTTTTTTTATAACCATATGGAAGGTAGATATAAATTATATATTATATCATATAAAACCTGCAACTACATCATTTGACTAGTATTTCTTATTACACCGCAACTTATGTCACAAGTATATCTTTACTTCCTTAAAAAGAAAAATAAACACACCCCCACTATTGACCAATATTTCTGTTATTCCCTTTTTTTCTTTTTTTTTTAAAAAAAAAAGGAAAAATGTTAAAAATAAGGTAAAAAGATTGTTTCATATTGGTAGTAACAAAATTACAGTAGACTAAATCTTATTCAATCTTTGATGACGATAGTTGTATTAAATCATCATTTCATCCTATAAATTATAAATTTACTAGGTAACAAAAACTTTCTAATTACGTAGTTACATTTTCTCACTTTTCCTGGATACTGAAAAGATGTTGCTTGTTTGTTTTTTGTTTTTTTGAAAGGAAAAGTAAATGAAATCATTCCTTTAGCTACTAGAGAAATCTATAATCTTTCATTTTGGTGACATTGATGACGAGATAAAATTAAGGCAAACAAAACTATCCTAATTAAGTTATACAGGAATCTTACCTAATAAAAATTAGTTTACTATGAAAATTAAGATGGATAATGATAATATTTAGGATAGATTTGCAGATTTATCAGGCTATTACTATTATTATTACTAATACTTGATAAAGTCTTGCGGATTTGAACGCTATATTCTGTAACCCTCAAGCTAGAACTATACAGTGACTTGAACAAGGAGAGAGAAGACGCAAAGTATGCGAGAAGCACCTTACTCCAAGGTTCATTTTAACACAGAAATTACAAGGTTTTTATAATACTTTAAATGTACTTGGGTTGCTAGAAGATTCTGGAATGCTACTAAATATAATAGCAGTATGATAACCAACCAATCAGAGCCTCTGCATGTGACGTTTCACTTCCTTGATATTTTTGGCTAAGACTTCAACTGAACGCTGATTGGATGAAAAGCTTCTTAGTGTTTCTTGGTGCTTGCTTGTATTTTGCAAGCAATTTTCTGGATCATCTCAACAGCTACAATGTAGGAACAGGCAGATATATGCATCGGTTCAAGTTTCCATACATCACTATCACAACACGTTAAACACCAGATTCATAGAAGCAGTTACTTCAATAGTAGTAATATACACTAATAAAGATTGTATATAAGGATATGAAACAAGGAGAAAGAATTAGTATGTAGAAGGAAAGGCATAAAGTGATTTTAATCTCACAGTTCAAGAGAAGACAAGGAGTGTATACACCTACGCCATTGTGATCGATTCTTAGCCATGTCATCAAGAGTCTCCAACCATTGGTTACAATAGTCACCTCATTAGCACCACGAGATGAACACCGGATTCATAGAATTAGTTAACTCAATGGTGACAACATATAAAAGATTGTGTATAAGGATATAGTACAGAAAAAAAGAATTAGTTGGTAGAAAGATATAAAGCAATACTAACAATGAGTAACATCTTTCGAATAGTCACTTGGTGCTACTATGTTAAAGATAGAAAAAAATATTTTTGTATGTATTTTGTATGTATAGTATTAATCCAGAAATAGATCCCAACAGTTGACAGTCATTATTCTCGTCAGTATAAAACAAAGAACAAAATACCTTGAAAGCACAAAACATATTTTAGAAATACTACATAGTTAATTGATGTAACCACCTGGAAATATGCATAATATCGTTCAAGTTATTGATACAACCCGATAGAAATGTGTATTGATTCAGGTGACAGACACTTAATATATACGGATTTTCATTAATCGGAATTAGCATAAACAAATAGTATGTAAACATCTGTGAAAGAAAAAAATTATCTACCATTTTTTTTTACCTGGAGCAATTACAGACACTTCTAGTGGACCTTCACCAGCATCTTCTGTATGTACTTTAAAATCAGCCAAATCTTTGACTCGTATACCTTGAGGTTGAATTCCTCGACCTGTGGCATAAGCTTGTTTTGGATCACAGGCTAAATAAAACAAGATATTTATAGATTAATATACAAGAAGAATGTATTCCAGAGTAATGAGCTCTTGTCCTACTTAATACTTTTGCTTACATAACAGTATGGAGTGTAATAGAATTACAAATTTAACATGGATCATTTAAAAGATTTAACATGGAATTTACTTGTTTATTTCGACTAATCAAATAACCATGGTTTCAAATGATAAGCAACCGGATAAGAATATAAGAAATAGAATTGTTTTTTTAAACATTATGGAGTAATCAAAATTTAATGTATATTTAGACAATTCTGACCTGGTCGTTGTGGTTGAGACATTTTCCTAGGTGACTGTGTTGCTTGCAATGGAGCTGTAATTAAAGTAGGATTAGGTAAATATACACAAGTGTTCTTAAATTAGATACTGTAAAGTTCACAGTTAATAATCATGCCATCGAGACATTCATGTGCATTAGTCCAATTCAGATTAAAAAGAGTAAATAAAAAAAAATTGGACAAGCGTTTTAGCTCATGCTTTGATTGTTATTATTGTTGACTTCATTATTTTATTGGCACCAAATTTGTTTGGAATTAAATCATGCGTAGAAGTTTAAAAGAAAAGAATTTACAAACACTTTAGATAATAATAGCTAAGCTTAGTTCACAATCGTTACATATCCCTTATACTAGTAATAATCATGTGCATACTAGTGTCTAGCTTCGAGATGTAATCTTTGGAGTTCTAGTGAGAAGCTGTGATCAGTGGAGTTCGAACATGTTGGGTGTGAGAAAGTTGTCAACAGCAGGTAATGGATAAGTGTTGTACAATATCGAGGATTGATTGAAGTTAGATATTAACACCTTTGGATACTGAGTCAATGGTCTACAGGTAGAACGTTCACACTCAAGACCAAAGGTTCTCAGTTTGATTATCCTAAATGGGTTGTGGGTTCTCATTGTTGAGAAGTCCTGCACTAGGATGAAATTGTAGTTTAGTGCTTCCAGTTTTACACTGGTGGTTTAACTAAGATCAGTTTGTGATTTAGACTTACGGAATTCTACAATCTTCAGAAATCCTCCAAGAAAATAAAATGTTCAAGGTTTTATATCAAGGAATATTTAAGTTAGACAATAAAAAATACTGTATCTTCAACATGATCTTATTATCATTCAGATTCAATAGGAATCGTCCGCTAATAGTGTCATGTAAGTAAATAGGACAAATTTTCTTTGATATTACTTCATTTGTTAGAAACTGATCAAACGTTTATTGTCACCCAGAGATATGTGTATGTCATAATGTTTTGGTAGTACTGTATTCTGTGAGCCAGATGCTTTAATTGTATAACTTTCTATCACGTTTTTTCTTAAAAACAGTCAACACCTACTTCATAGAGAAGTGAGACTCATTTAAAGAGTATTTAACAAGTATTAGATTTTTTCACTCTGATAACCTTTACTGTGGTCTACATTATCTTTGCATTCACATTAATCGCTTTCTTAGATTATATTCTGACCATTTGATCTTCATCATTATAGTGGTGGATAACCTCATTCAGTGATTTCCCTCATTAGAGGTATAATGAGCTTCATTTTCTTAATGACATTCAAGAATCAATTGTGTACATAGTCTTTATACTAAGGATATATATACTAAAAGATGCATGATATAAGTAAGAACTATTTTAATGGTATAAACTCTACTAGAACAGGTTTGAAACATTAAACTATTACTTGAAATATCTAGATCGAAATAAATCTGTTAAATGTTTGTTGGAAAACACAACACTGTTTTAATATCAGTATAGGGTTGTGGAGGTTATTAAGTTTTTGATTAAGATCATGAACCGACTGATGTTAGACCACCATTGAAAACCTGGAATTATTGGACGATCTTTTCGTCCTAGTACAGGACTCCTCAGCAGTAAGCATCCGCAACCCCACTCACGGGATTCAAACCCATGGCCTTCAGTCTCGCGAGAGGAGGATTGAGACCACTGAGTCGGCATCCAACGGTATTAATGTCTAACTTCAGCCAATCCACGAAATTGTGTGACCACCCTCCATTGTACTGAGGTAACTACCTATCTCTACTTGACACAGATTAGCTCCGCTGGTCACGGATTTTCACTAGAACTCTGAGAATTCCCTTTTTTCTAATATATTCGCTGTAAGAAATGAGCAGCATCAACCGTAGTCCAACCAAACTCACATGAAAATAAACAATAAAATCAAACCAAAATAATAAAAGGTGAATCTTATTTTTCAGTCAATTTAAAGCAACAACATTTCCTCGGCCAAAATGAAATCATGAAAGATTTTGGATACATGCATCATGAATATCTTTTCCCAGATTTCTGATCATTAATAATGATGATTATTTGATGAAACTTTATATAATTGTACTTTTAATAGATTGATTATTGTCATGCTGATTTATGTTGTAACTTAATAATGATAATAATAAATAACGAAGATATAAAGCTTAGCAACAACATTATTCATTCATTCATTCAAACAAACAAAAAGAACTGATGCACACCTTCTTGGTTAACTATTGGTGCAGGAGATTGTACTACTGGTGGTGGTCCTATATGAAAGAATAAAGTTATGAATTTATAATAAAATATTGTATTTAAAAGATAATTACTTTGAAATTAAGGGATTAAGGTGTACACCTAGTTACATAATTCTCACTTAACATTTTAATATTTATTGGTTGTTAAGATTCTCTCATTAATGTTTAGAACTGTAATTGATCAATCTGTTGTGGCATATAACATCCTGTGTGGATTGCTTTGATTTTGTCATTAAGTTGAAGGTATTGGAAAGAGAGATGGATGCTTGTGATTTATTCATAAACTTAAGTCATTGAAATTTTGTCTATCTTGTATCACTAAGTAGGAACACAGGACAAGGAATTAAGGTTCACTTTCATTGAAAATAAAGTGATATTCACTTCTGATATTTATAAGCATCTTAGTGATTAGTTGATAAGTCTTGCTAATTGAACGCTATATTCGGTTTCTAAGCTATTCTCGTAACCGTCAAGCTAGAACTACACAACGACCGGGACACGAGAGAAAAACCGCAAAATATGCGAGAAGCATTTTACTCCAAATGTTCGTTTTAGTACAGAAAATGTTGGGTTTTATAGTATTTTCGATGTCCTTGGCTTTCCCGAAAGTTCTAGAATGCTACTAAACATAGTAGCAGGATAGTAATCAGCCAATCAGAAACTCTACATGTGACTTTGCACATTCTTAATGTTTCTGGCTAAATTTCTATTGAACGCTGATTGAATAAAATGCTTCTTAGTGTTTCCTGATGCTTGCTTGTCTTTTGAGAGAAGTTTTCTGGATCACCCCAACATGAGTAAATTTAAGAAATGAATGCATTTCAGCCATACATTTTAAACAATCCAGTCACATACACACTTGTCAAAGCACTTATATATGAAAATGAATGAAGGACATCTATACAGCAAATGGAAGGATATAATAAGTATAACATTTTCAAGGTATCACTGAAATAGTTGTCACCTACTGAGAAACTCGAAACTTGTATATAAAACAAATTCCTTCAATCATTTTCATGAACATGATTATCATTTGTACCCTGAACCATGTAATCCATCTTTAATAATTGCTTATCTTTATACACATGATACGTTTTTGTAAAATCGAACTATGTATAAACAGTTACGAAATCCGTGAATATTTATTTTGTGACTTCAATGACTGATGCCACGTTTTAGTTTGGCCGCCCCTAACTTTTTTCCAGTCGTCTCCAACACTAGTAAGTATTGCACGTCGTGGTAATCGGTGTTCCGGCATACGTAACACATGACCCAACCATCACAGTCGATGAAGATTTTCTTTGTATATATTCATCAAACAATTTAAATGGAGTATATTTTTTTCATTCTTAATTCAATTTTAAATTATTCAACAACTTATCTTGACTATTTACCCAAGTAAAATAATGAATCATATTTACTTCAGATGAAATCAGTGTCCCTTCAAAGTATAATTTGTATTTTAAAGTTCCTCTCAGGTATTAAATTATCATCGTAACGGGGCGGATTTGCATGTATATGGCATACAATAATCTTTGCACCTAGTACACAACAAAACTTCATCACGAAGTAAGCCCTAACTTGAAATATTGAAAGGAAAAGAGGAAGGCGGAAGAACATATTACGCAGAGAATTGGAAGCAGACATGAAAAAGGTGGATAACAACTGGATAGAACTGGGAAGGATTGCTTAGGACAGGGTTGGATGGAAAGTACTGGTGGACGACCTATGCCCTTCCACGAGTAAGTAAGTAAGAAAGTATTTAAAGTATATGATCGGTCTGATAAAAATATATGAACTTAACTACTAACGTTATTAGTTACGGATCTAATTTCTAAAAATGATAAATCACAGTCTACTGAGATCGACATCATAACTTTGTCTAATCTTAGTTGGAAACCCTCATATTTACGTAGCTGATAAATAATAAAAACTGATGGAGTTTTGTTCACTGAGCTAGATGGTTCGGTCGTGGAGCTTTCATCATTATTCTGGATGTCATAATCAGCATAAACTTCAGGTATACTTGAAGCGTTCGAATTACTCCACATATGGCTCACGGCTTGTCCTGTAGACCTCGCTGTTGATTGGTCATTGTTAACCTTTAACCTTCTATTGTTTACTTTTTTATTTTGGTTGTATCTCCCATTGATTTGATTTTTGGTCCATAAATTTTTCTGATTGATTAATAAATTAGATCGATACCAATGTGTTTGTTGATTGGCCTGAGTGTCAAGCTTCTAAAAATTCTCTGGTTTTTAAAATTGCTTCTATCCAATATCTCAACATTTTTCCAGTCGAATGTGAAGATGAAGAGGGCATCCGCTTTGTGTGATTTTTTATATTTATGCCTAATATCCATGATAAACCTTACTATAATTAACCAGTACATTACTGCTCAGTATCTGTGTACATATCATATAAATTTATACTTTAGAGATAGATAAGAACACAAAAATCCAACAAGACTTTTTAAAGTATATCCTTCTTCTTGATAGTGGTGTAGATTTATGAACAGATGGAACCATGAATCAACATCAAGTTATACTTTGGGAAGAAAAGAACTCTCGCGAAAGTTTTTACTTGTTGAACGGTCAAAGTGAAAAACTCTTGGCATGTAGATTAGGTAATTTAGTCAGATGTTTGAAAACTTCAAGTATAATGGGAGGCTGGGATGAATACAAGTCTGGGTGTACCTGCATCGTGAAGTGAAAATCAACTCTGAGAACGAAACGTGAGTCCTGGATTCCTTTGCCAGCCACTATCCATCTTTGATTATAATGCTTGTGAACTAAGGCAATATCTAGGCAATACACACAGTATGACCATATGCCAATAAGAGACTGATCAATTGCAGTTCTAAGCATCAATGGGAAAATTCAAGCAAACAATATCAAGTGAATTTATTAATTGTTTCGTCGATATAAATTATTTTTTTCAAAACTTACTGATATAAGTAACCACAAATACGTCGCAGAGACTAAATATGCAAGTTATTTCATGCCGTAGTCATTCACAATAAAAATTTGTAAATTCTTTTACGAGAGGTAATGGGTTCTTAAAAATTGTTGCTGAAGTAATCACGAGAATAGTAATAGGGCGAGACTATAATTTATGGACGAATCAATCAGGTAAAAGATAACATCTCGGATTTTGGCGCGAAATTCACTCATCCATTTGGCTAAATAGAGTTTGGACATTACAGCTGATATCGATTCGTGATGAAAACCCTAAATGTAATTCGTAACCCTGACCATCAACTGTAAATCATAATTCGAATTCCTCACATAGGTTTATAACCCTCAATTAGTCCTAGTTATTAGGTGAAGACTCTCAAGGTCAGTTTGGCGTCGCTCATAGGTCGTCCACAAATGATAGTCTAACCATTGATGGTAATAATGTTAGATAAATGATGTTATTGAAACACCAAGTTCCAATTTTATTATTCCTCACAAGGGGACTTAATCTATGAGATAGTTGAAAGAATTTTTATTCAAGTTCACATTTATGTTACTTACATCGTATGCTAGTGTAGTTATTTACTAAAGAAAAATACATTTCATAGTTCCATTTTCAGGTCTTCACATATACGCTTATATGAGAGATTAGTATCATCAATACAGACAATAAAGCTCCTCCTGGAACCACTCTCGGGCATTTGCCTGTCCCAAGCCCGGATAAAGAGAGAGGGTTGGGCAGTACTGTGATAAACTCGTATATATTCAGTAAAATAATGTACATATAAGCAGAAAAACAAATGTCCTATTTAAAATAAACAAACTTATGTATTAATGAAAGTGATTTGTTTCGTCTTGTGTTGTTTGTTTGTTTATGTGGATCGACTGTGAACACTGTATAATAATGAAAAATGGATCATCCTCTGCACCGCTAACATTTTAGTAATTATCAATATGTATAAATGGATGTATAAAGTAATTTGGAGAAAGGTTTAGGGAATATAAGAGTACTGAGACAATTTGAAAATTAATAGGACAGATTGCATAACAATCATAAAATATATTTGATTGAGATCATGAATCGATCAATGTTAGACCATCATTGAAAATCTGGAAGCACTGGAAATTAAGCATTCGGTTCAGTGGTCTATAGGTTAAGCGTTCGCGGGCGAGACCGAAGGTTCTGAGATCGAATCCACGTGCAGTATCGTGGAGAGTTTCATACTAGGACGAAACGACCGTCCAGTGCTTACAGGTTTTTATTAGTGGTTCAACATTGATCTACTCATGATCTCAATCAAAAGCTCAACAATCTCTACAACCTCATACAGATAATCATAAAATAATTGAAGAGCTTACATAAATCTCAAGAATTAAATGATGAAATGTCAAGGTTCAGTGAAAATACAGTTTTTAAATTGAATGAAACAATAATCATCTAAGCGAAGGTTATATACAGTAACACAAGTAATAATAATCACATGAGAGAAACTAATCGAAACTGTCTTTTTACTTTGGTAATGATAAATTATCTGATGTTCCCCTCTAAAGACATAAGTTTGGTTTAAGTTTTGTAAAAATAGCTACTGCTTTTGAGAAATATGATGAAGTTATGATATTTTGAATGTCAGTTATTTGGAAAGATTAAAGAACTTCGATAATACGGTCTCTATTGATGAGATGTCGAAGTATCAAACTGTTTATTATTGTATTAGCTTTTAATTTCAAGCTTTTAGAAGTATGATTGGAAATATAAAAGTATACTCTTTTATTGGTTAGTAACGAAGCTTTTTATAGATACAAGTCTGGAGGTACCTGAAAATGAAAATTGGATTAGTGGTGGTCCTAGTGACCGGAGAGCATAACCACAACGCCCAAGGGACAACTGCTTGCGGCCGGTCACACATGCCCTTTCCGTGAGTAATTTTCGTGTTAGCTCCGTACTTGTTGAGACCTTACCGCCGGCGACGGATATCCGTGGTACGAGGCGAGGTGTCTATGTTTAGGGTCGACCTTTTCTAATTCCATGCCTACCTCTGGGAAGGCAGCATCGCTGTTATGCTGGTTGTCTGAAGGAAACACCTTACTGCGGTCACATAGTCATACAGTCAGCAGTACGATTTCGCCCTCAGACGCCCTGCTGCTTTTAGTCTTACCATTCTTCAACCGACCTGTCTGGCATGGTAGGACCTTGAGGAACGATTGTTCCAACCAGTATAGCTCGATTGGTTCATCACGATAGGCAAGCGCGATCAACACGTCAAGGTAACAGCAACGGTCGGGTTTATAGATACAATCTTATCAGCTAATTGTATGCTAAGGTAAACTGTTGTATATCGTGGGGATATTCATAACAGGACTTAAAATTAACAAGAAGTGTTCAGAATGAGGAGTTTTCTTCCGAATAATCCAATGATCATCAATAAGATTTAATCATTCAGAAGTGAAAATCATAGATGCGTTCATAATGTACTATAGTAGTGTGGTATGGATAAATTTACATAAAAAATGTAGTGTAACAAGTGTTTAAAGCAAGCTTTATGTACATCTACAGACAAATGAAATTTAGTATTATAAATAATCTTAAAACTTTATCATCAATACAATCAAAGATGTTTAATTGGATAATATATACATATATATACTTGAAACAAAACTTACGTGGACCAACCATCACACCAAATGGTGAATTTGATATTTGTTGACCAGCATAAAATACATTAACTGAATGAAGTCCTTCATCTTTTGGTGTATATTCTACAAGATAATTATCTTCACCTTGACGAGTTATCAAAGGTTTAATAGCATCACGTCGGCCATGAGGATCTAGAATTACACAGTCTGCATTTCCAGGTCCAGCAGCTAAGAATAATTAAATGAATATTATTTTCGATAGTATAATAAGAAGACAAAGATCGTCAGAATTATGTAATGATATATTAGCGCAATACATTTCGAACAATCTGATCACACATATACTTGTTAAGAACATTTATATATAAAAATAAAAGGTCAACTAGACTAGAAAGGCAGGGGAAGAGGAGAAAAGGATAATAAAGAAAATAATTATGTGAAAACTATTTGAAACCTCATCACTCTAGATAATAAGTCAGTACTACCAGGGTAGGTTTAAGGTGAGAACAAACTGGTTTTGAATACCCTTCTACACTTTTGTACAACACCACAAAAGCTGAGTTAAGATCAATCATATGACCCATTTTGGAAGTGGATAGGACACACATCGAGGAAAGCATCCAACTACGTCACAAGACAAGCCCTCACATGGAATCCTCAAAGCCAAAGGAAAAGAGAAAGACCAAAGAACACATTATGCCGGGAAATGGAAATAGACATGAGAAAAATGAACAAGAATTGGATGGAACTAGAACAGAAAGCCCAGGACAGAGTGGTTTGGAGAATGCTGGTCCGCGGCCTATACTCCATTGGGAGTAACAGACGTAGATAAGTAAGTAAGTAAGTTATATGACCCATTTCAATTGTGTTTGGCAATAGGGGATGATTGATGTTTCTCCTCTACTCTTATTGGTTCACTTGATTCCATTTGTTTCTCCAACCATTTAAATACATGTTCACATACCCTAATTTTGTTAGGAAATGGTGTAAGTTAGATAATCATGATTCGATCAAAATATACCAGACGAACCAATATTGAATAAAAAAGCTGTGAAACTTTGTTTCTTCTCATAGCAGGTTCTTGTTAGCACATTAAGTTTTGGTACTGACAATTTTCCATTAAAAGGCTCATATAACAGCTTTATATTAATAAGTATGCAAAAATCATCGCAAAAACAGACACAAGTAACGACTACATGTTGCTGTAAATGTTATGCTAATCAGTAATGAATGACATATGGACCTTCTTCCGATCGACATCATGTCATGAGAACGAGTAATTATGCGACTGATTTGTTATATCCATCATAGTTATAGATGTTTATTTGTGCGGTGTGGTAAATAAGTGTTCATACAGTAAGCTGTTAATTAATTGATATTAGATACTACTCAATTCAATTTATACAAATCTAACTGTTTATCTGAATACAAATAAATCATCTAAGAGGTAATGGATTCATGTTTCATTTTGATTTAATTTAGGGGTTAAATCAATCCTTATCTATCGTCATAGTATTCCTTACTTGCATCGTCCGATTTGCAGTTTACCTAGTAACGAGTTTGTTAATTATTTCCGCATATACAACAGTAAAGTCTTGAAATAGGAAAAAAATATGAATATTCAGTACATTTTGGTTTCCAGCTGATCTGCAGCTGGTTGCATCTTTCAGAGATCTCATTTAAAATATACACAATATTTACAAGAACACCCACAAAATTTAAAGTACTTGAAGTAAGGGTTAAATCCGTAAAACCTATTGACATGTCGTAACATCATACAAAACTTTTTAAAATTAATACACTATAATTAAATAACCTCGTATGTGTGAATGTCGACTAATATCAAAGTCAGAATCTCCAACGCAAACGTTAAGACAGTTCTACTATACGGAGCTGAAACTTGGAGAACTACTACAATCGTCGTCAAAAAGGTACATTTATTTATGAGCAGTTGTTTACACAAGATATTTAATGTCCGTTGTCCAGACACCATCAGCAACAGCCTAGTGTGGGAGACAACGTACCAACTTCTAGCTGAAGAGGAAGCTAGGAAAAGACCATGGAAGTGGATAAACACATACATTGTGGAAACCGTCAAACTGCATCACTAGACAAAGCCCTAACGTGGAATCCTGAAGGGAAAAGGAAAAGAGGAAGACCAAGGAACACATTGCGTCGGGAATCAGAAGCAGACATGAAAAGGATGAATAACAACTGTAAACAACTACAAAGGATTGCTTAGGACAGAGTTTAATAGAGAATGCTGGTGAGCGGCCTATGCTACTCCATGATAGCTAACAAGTGTAAGTGCGTAAGTAAGTATATGTCAAGGTTTTACTGAATCATTATATCGAAAGACCTATACTATGAAACAAAATAAATGATAATTCTTTATCTGATTACTGAATAAGATTATGAATCCAGGCAACAGAAATGAAATATTTCATAAGCAGAAAAGAACGTACATGTAAACAAAATACAACAATTGATTAATATGTGCTTTACTTATGATCACGGGGGATGGATGGAAAGTTAAAAGAGACAAACATTACAGTAAGTTGTAACACAGTTTAGCTAATTGACTTCACTAGATTTGATACGTTATAATTGAATTTCTAAAGAAAATCTATGTGGATCTTTCTATAAACAACGAATTATTCAAACAATAGAATGTAATTTTTAGGTTTGAAGAAAAAAGATTTGTATAAACTTTAGTAAAAGTTGTTTTCATAAAATTTTTAGCAATTCATTCAAAGTGAAGTAATGAACATGTTTATAGAAACAATCATCTACGTCAGACAATGGGTGAAGAGTTACGCAAGATCATGAATTGATTAAAGTTAAACGTCAAAACCGTTAGATACCGGCTCAATGGTCTGGAGATAAGACTTTCGCGCGAGAGACCGGATGTCATGGGTTCAAATCCCATGTACGGGGTCGTGGATGTACAGAGTTAAGAAGTCCCATACTAGGACAAAACGACTGTTTAGTACTTTTAGTGTCAAAATAATCCTGTGACAACCATAGAGGGACTAGTTTGACTAACATAGCATATAAAATACCAGCATCAATAATTATCGGACGCCTAACTAAGACTCGTGAACTGCAAACACGAGAGAATCAGGCTGGCTTCACACCTGGTCGTGGCTGCATCGACCACATATATCACCATTCGTCAGGTTCTAGAACACAGGCATACTTATCGGTGTCCGACAGTAGTGGTCTTTCTTGACTTAAAAGCAGCACTTGAATCAGTAGACCGCAAGATTCTGTGGCAGTGTCTGTCATTGAAAGGCGTACATCAGAAGTACATAAAACTTGTGAAGGCTCTTTACTCGAACACTACCAGTCGAGTCAGAGCTCATGGCGAACTGTCATCCGCCTTTGCAACTTCAAGTGGTGTCCGTCAAGGCTGTCCACTTTCTCCACTTTTCTTTAACTTCATCATAGACCTACTGATGGAAATAACATTCTCGTCTACTGAATTCTCGGGTATTGATCTCCTTTAAGGAGGTCCACTTATCGACTTAGAATACGCAGATGACATAGTCCTGTTTGGTGAAGACGCTGATAAAATGCAGAGTCTTTTGGTAGCACTAAGCAACAATGCCAGAATGTTTGGAATGCGTTTTTCTCCCTCTAAATGCAAGTTGTTGCTTCAGGACTGGTCTGCGTGAACACCTGAACTAAGGATAGGGAGTGAAGAAGTCGAATGTGTTGACAACTTCACTTATCTTGGAAGTCTGGTCAGCCCAAACGGGTAGGTGTCTGATAACATCTCAGCACGCATTTAGAAAGCTCATTTGGCTTTTGCCAACTGACATCAACTACGGCGAAAGGCGAGATATCAATCTATCAATTAAGGGACGAGTATACTACGCGGCAGTTCGTTCCGTTCTACTTTACGGTTGCGAAACGTGGCCATCAAGAGTAGAAGATACTCGTAATTTACTAGTACTTGATCACAGATGTCTCAGAAATATTCCCAGCATCTATTGGGATCACCGGGTAAGTAATAATGAGGTTAGGTGTAGGGTAACAGTGAATGATGTTAAAACAGTTGATGGGGGTGTAAATCTTCATCGAATTAGATGTTTGGGACACGTGTTGCGTACGCTTGAACACCGTTTACCACGACGCGCAACGCAGACTAGTGTTGGGGATAGTTGGAAGTAAGTTAAGGGCAGCCAAACGAAAACATGGTATCAGTCCATAATACCACTAACTTCTGGTGTGAGCCATGTTGGTAGATGTAGACTATTTCGTTGGGGTCCGCTTGATTATCGTAATCAGTGGTTAGAGACTCGGTGTGACATGGCTCAGAATCGATCACAATGGCGTTGGTGTATACACTCTCTGCCTTCCCTTAAACTATGGGATTAAAATCGCTTCATATTTTTCATTCTACGAAGTAATTCTTTCTTCCGGTATTATATCCTTATATGGAATTTTTCCTTTATATATTACCAACATTGACTTGACTACTCCTATGAATCCGGTGTTCATCTTGCTGTGCTAATGAGGTATTGCAACTTGAACCGATGCGTATATGTATCTGGTCCTACGTTGTAGCTGACTGATCTAAAGTTCTTATCCACAAGCCAGTAGAGCAACGTCTGGAAATGCAGTCCCATGGTAGCCGGCGACTAACGTCTGGTTCACACGCCATTTGTTCCATCAGGATACTGAAGTCTATGTGCACCATTGGTTTTGAATCAGGGTTTTCCAACTCCCCTAGATGGACTCTGTGTCCTTCGAACCGGTTAAAGCGCCAGACATTCGCTTTTCGTCCTTTGAATTTTGTAAACAACAGCAATACCGCAAGAAGGCAATGAGTAGGACTTCCCTGACAGTGGTTGTATGCACGTTGCCATATCACAGCATTTGGAGAGGGTGAGCTGACACTCCCCACTTTCAGCCGTATCAGGGCCGTCAAAAAATTGGGATGTACTACAGTGGCGTGTTTATAAAAGATACTTATAGATAGATTTAGATCATTAAAACGAATTCGCTATTGAATATCATAGTCTTATCAGCAGAATTCATCCACAAAATGAACGAAGAATGTTCATAAATGCAAGATATTTCATAATTACTCAAGACGAAAAACAAACAGTATGGTCAACCTCACACGATATCAGTATACATTAAAGTGTCATAATATCATACATCAAGTGCAATTTAGTATGTTGTGTAGATCATGCAACATAATACTTTTACGATTATTCTTACAACTATAGGACATTAATGAAAACATAATATGATTTTGTACAACATTTATTTGAACTTACAATCATGATTAGGACCAACTTTGTAAAATAATTAAGCAATATTATTACTTATATGATATTAAAATGTAAAGTGAGTTGTATATGAGTGAAGTAAAGTATGAAATTATAATAGTCACTAAAAAAAGTAATTTAATACATAACTTGTTGCCTATGTGGTATGGAAAGTTAATCAGAAGTATTTTGATTGAAATCATGAATCAGTTGAAGCTAGACTACCATGAGAAACCTGGAAGCATTGGATGGCCGTTTCGTCCTACTGTGAGACTCCTCAGAAGTGCGCATCCATCATCTCGCACCCCGCGAGATTCGAACCCTGGACCTATCAGTCTCGCGCCAGGCACTTAGCCAACTAGACCATTGAGCTTCAATTGACCCATGATTTCAATCAAAAACTTAACAATCTCCACATCAACTAAACTGATAATCAGAAGTAGCAACAGGTCAATTGATGTCAATCAAAAGTGACCCAAAGGTTAATGGGTCAATGTCCTAAGGATAGAGTGGTATATATATGAATGAGTATTTGTGCATTTCATTCGGTATCATAATACACTTTCTCGCATATTCATATGTTCTTGCTGAAGTAATCAGCTGGGGAGGGGATAGAGCGTAGCACGGATTTTGGGCATTACACATTACAGCATTATGTTTGAAGAAAGTATAATTGTATCTAATTAGCTTGTAATTATTATGTTTACATAATTAAGGTAGTAGATAAATTAATTGACTGTAAGACGAATAAGAGTTGTAGATAGAGAAAGTTATTCTACACATAAATGTTGTTAAAACTGCTAGAACTGAAACAATCCATCCAATGAAGTTATATGTTTTGATCAAACAGAAATAAGGAGAAAATTTAATACATTTGCGTTACTATGGTTTTAAAGACAAGTGATGACTGATTGCTAATGTGCTTAGTAATTTTGTTTTGGACAGTTTTAATATTATTCAAACTATTTTGTCTGGTAAGCAATCTGAAGAAAATAAGAATTTGAATATATTCACCGTTTTGATCTACTTCTTCACAATAGAAATCTTGTGATTTTCAAATTATCCGATATTTAATCGTTGTTGAACATATTCAATAAATGTAGTCCTAGATTGTCTTTATACTTCTTTTGACTAGTACATATAGGATGATGAACTGTAACGTGAAATGTTATGAAAGTAACGTAATTGTTATCGTGAGCACTTCGGTGTAATGAGTTTAGTTTAAACGTTGGAAAAGTATCTCTCAAAGGAATTCACAATGTATTCATTGTTTACCATTCATATTGTTATTCATATTACACTAAAATTTAACTGTATCTGGAAAATTATTGGGAGCTCTTGAAAGTTCCTTGAAAAAGTTCAGAAAAGCTAGAAAGAGGTTGAACAACATTTTTCATCCACTTAATATCCTGTAGAAATTCTTCAGACGGTTCTAGATAAACGATAAATTGTACTTAATACCATAATTGGATGAATATCAATTCTGCAATTCAATTTAACATATTTTTCACGACTTTTAAAATAACAAAGTCACCCGCAAAACTATTAATACCCCAATTTACTTGATCCCGGAACAAACTTTAAAAATAAAACATTTTTCATACTTCCAGCCTTTTTTGCATTCGTAGTTCAGGTGTAAGCAAGTCCTCACATGAAATCCTCAAGGCCAAAGGAAAAGAGGAAGACCAAAAAACACATTATGCCGGGAAATGGAGACAGACATGAGAAAAATGAATAAGAATTGGATGGAACTAGAACAGAAGGCCCAGGACAGAGTGGGTTAGAGAATGCTGGTCGGCGGCCTATACTCCATTAGGATTAACAGGCGTAAGTAAGTAAAGTTCAAGTGTAAGGGATTATCAAAGACTGATGATTGATTATAAAGTCAGTTTTACTAGGACGAAACGACCGTCCAGTGTTTTCAGGTTTCCAATAGTGGCCTAACATTCATTCATTCATGATATCAATTAAAACTCCGTTTTAAGTGTCACATACCGGACATATCTAAAATACATGATCCAAATCTATCCATTCAATGAATACATTTGAAAACTTAATTTTACATCATGGATGGATGCTCTGACGGTTAGCTGTTATAAATAAATTAAAACACAGACAAAATAAAAACGTACAGTCTGAGATCAACGTCTACAGGTTGATAAATCTAAAAATCGTTAATCAATAAAATTACGATCTAGTTGTTGAAATGATAATATACTCCAAAAAAAGATATATAGTTACCGGCAGTGAATATATTGAAGAATGTACGTCGACCAACTTGATTCCCAGTTGGTTCAATTCCTGGACCAGATGCAGTTGCTTTACTTCCATCACCTTGTGCACCTTCTACCATAACTTTAAATGGTGAATTTAAAATTTCTTTAGTGGCAAATTTAATGATAACCCTGTATTCACCTTCTTGTGTTGGAACATAAGCACAAGAATAAGTTTGTTGTTTATCATTAGTACTGAGTACATCACACTAAATAACAGAAAGAAAAGAAAATATACATAAAATTTCTAGAGGATGAAATCGAACAGGGATTTATTGGATTTGAACGTTATTTACATGATAACGGCTACCGAGATGGTGAAGAAAATTTGTAGCTCAGGTGAATGGTATGGGTGGAGTTTTATTCTCAACAATAGTCAGTCAAGATCGAGGTCTATAAAAAAAGCTGTGAGTCATATGTGGAGAAATTTGAACAGTTCACTTCTACCTGAAGTTTGTGCTGATGATTTTGTTCAGAAGAACAATGAAAGCTCCATGATTAAACTAACCACTTCAGAAAACAAAATTCCGCCTAAATAATGGCTATCCTCAAAAACTCATAACCAAATATGGAAAGGCCAGAAAGAATTAAATAGAATATGGTAAGGTTGAGGAAAAATGATTAGTAGTTAATGTTGCGTATTTGAATGTCTTTCTAACGCTGATAGAATTCTATCGATCAAGTAGCAATCTAGCCAGTAGTCTGACTTTGAATCACATGCACTGTAAGTTGATGGTTGTAGGTGGTTAACAGAATACCTTGTACCGATGTTTCATGCCATTAAGCATTCTTCATCAAGGTTTATCTGTAATTTTGAGGGAACTGATGTCACCTGGGGAATTTTACTTTAATCAGTCAATTATAAATACTGCAGTTCTATGGGATACTAATGGAAGTTCAAAGAGCCCAATGGTAACATTTCAGATTGCGAGGCTGAGTAAACATTTTTCGAATCAACCATAGAGCATTGACTTCCTCAAGATTACAGGTGTATTGTGCTTATTAGTGCCAGATGGTAGGAAACCTAGGTCTGTGGTTTTCCATTGACTACCTCCAACATCTAACTTAAAAATTCTCTTATTAAGAATTAACTTCGAAGATATATAAATAGCTTAAAAAACTAATTACGAGATTAAACACCATGCTTAGAACACATCTAAAAACCATTATGATCTGTTTGTACTGACCGATTCATTCTTATGACAGCCAAATTTAGACAAACTCATTACTTACGTTACAACCATATTCTATAACCGTATCTACTAGTTTAAATGTGTGTGTTATGTAACATCATAGCAACAAGTTGCATAAATTTTTAGTAATTAGGACCCTCCAAATACAGTTGATAACGTATGTTTTGCTTTATTTTTGAAATAGTACCCAAGTATTTTTGCATTGAAATGATAAACTTTTAAACAGTTAATCCTAACTGGGACATGATTTAGAATTCTTTTTAAAAATGTATTGATATTGACTGAGTTTTGTTCTCTGAGCTGAATGGTTTGGTTGTGGAGCTTTCATCGTTCTTCTGAACGACATCATCAGTAAAAATCTAGATTTAAAGTCATCGAGGACCAATCAACATCGAGGTCTACAGGACAAGCTACTAACAATATGTGGAGAAATTCGAACACTTCACTTCTGTATAAAGTTTATGCTAATGATGTCGTTCAGAAGAACGATGAAAGTTGCACGACCAAATCATCCAGCACATAGAACAAAACTCCGTCAAAGTCATCCACCTGAGCTACAAATTTTCATCGTCATATATCCTCCAACAGTACAGGAACCACAGATACTGTCGGAACAAAATGAGCTGATTTTATTGCATCACTATTCAACAAGTACTAACAATTCAAATGATTATCTTTTTTCTGGTACAAATCTATAATCTCGCAAATGATTTAAATTGTGAATACATATTTATGTTAACAAAGTATTGATATTAGACATATATTGATTCTCAGAAAGGGGTTTTTGTGGATATTACAGTAATTTAATAGTTGAGTTCATGAGTCAATTGAAACTAGACCATCATGGAAAACCTAGAAGCACTGGACGGTCGTTTCATCCTAGTGTGGAACTCGTCGGTAGTGCTCACCCACTATCCCGCTTTATGAGATTCGAACCCGTGACCTATCGGTCTCGCGCGCGAACGCTTAACATATTAATTCGGCAACTGGTAAAGCAGATGATAATAATGTTATCAAACCAGGTGTTGGACAAGGCGATAGAGAAAATTGAACCTATGTTTTTCTGCATACACTATAGGTTATTCAGTTTGATTAACTGTTAGTCTTTCTATTGGAAGAATTCACAGTTGAACAACTATTGGCTCGTGGCTCTTCACAAAAGTTTACTAAAAATTAGATAAACTGTTACTTTATGGGGATGTTTAGATTGGTTATGCTCAGAATGAATCATCTTAATTACATCATTGGATTTCTTTCATTAGAAACTATATATTTAAATTAAGGAATAAGTCTCAGGGTGTATATGATGTGTGTGTTGTATCCTTCAAATAATCAAAACAATATAATGAAATACGACATAATTGGAAGGAATTCAGAGCAGGTTTATTTCCAGTTGATGTTTGGTAAAATTTACCTCCATGAGACATATCGGAGAGGGACGATCGAATGACAGTACATGATTAAAATAATTAACTATAAACTTACTGGTTCTCTTTGTCCTTTAGGATTCAGCACAATCACTTCAACAGCACCCCGACCAGCACTGAATGTATCAATAGTAAATCGTGCAGGATTACCAACAGTATTTCCATGTGGTTCGAGACCTTAAATTTTATTAACATAAAAAGTGAACTGAATGAAATCATATTTTAAAAATATTCTATCTTAGAACCAGCTTAAACTGGTTTCTTCTAGAATTTTGGCACAATTAAACATGGTATCCTTTTAATGTAGATTCTCAAGCTACTGCATCATTAATGTAACGAACCGATAGATTCACCTTGCAGAAGAGTTGCATACGAGGATCAAAACAGCTGTTCAATACTTCCACGTTTTCTATGGTTATCTAATATAGATTTTAACAACATTCAACAACCCCCATAACTTTATTTTGACCAGATAAAAGCATTTTTTTGGCTTAGTTACAGCTGATTTAAAGTTCAATTTAGTTTCAATGTTTATATTGGACAAATCTTACCTATTTTCAATCAATGTCCACATTTTCAAAACGACATAATTAAAGCTTCAGTGATTTCAAAAAAGAAAAGATCTAATCAAGTTATAGCAACTCATGTGCAATTGAGTTTGTTCACATTTAATTCGGTTAAGTCATTTTGTTAATTTGTATAACGGACTGAGTCATCTTGATGGAGTTTTGTTCTCTGAGCTGAGTCATCCGTGCAGCAACAACAACAACTTATCTATAGCACTGTATCTTTAGTATTGTTACGAATGTATGATTATGTACGCTTACATTTAATACTATACACTCGACTCGCTGACTCATTCATTCGCCACTCCGCTTTGTGGTCTGAGCTATCTGCTAATAAAACTGTAGTCACTACTTCTCTTTGCCTTCTGATTTCAAACACCGGTTGAGGTTTATATGATAACAGTTACGAGGGTGATTGGTTAACGAAGCACAATCACTACGATGTAGCTAGTAAATAGATATTTTGTTTGACTAGCAGTTGTTATTATGAATTAAACTTATGATCTGAATAAATCAAATGGTTATGTCTCTACATCAATCGGTTGATATCTTATAGTATGACACTTGAACATCTAAAAACTAATATACAATTTTGTAATGTTGATAATAATAGCAAAATGAAAATGAATTTATGGGATGTAAATCAGGGAAAGCTATCAGATATATGTCAATATATTTGATGTATTGCTTAATAATCGAGTATAGAAAACAAGTAAATGGATTGTGGAATAATTATGATAAATTAATTCAGAGGTGTCCATTAAATTTAGGAAAAGACGATGGAAATCTATAGGATATACATTACGGAATCACTAAACTGCATCACGAGACAAGTGCTAACTTAGAATCGTGAATGAACGCGGAAAAGAGGAAGTCCAAAGAACATATTACGTTGGGAAATAGAAGCAGATATGAAAAGGATGAATAACAGCTGGAAAGGATTGCCCAGTACAGGGTTGGATGGAGAGTGCTGGTGTTCGGCCTATACTACTCGACGAGGAGTAGCAGGGGTAAGTAAGTATGTGCTGCGAATAAGTATGCGGAAGTATTTACATTATATAACGAACTATTAACATCTCATTGAGTTACTGATTGAAATATACGAATGTTTGGTGAGAGTTTGAATTTAATATGATGTAGTAATTAAGATATGTTTCTCCTAACTTCTCTTAACTTCATTATCTCTTTCCTCAAACTACCATCATTGTTAACCAAATTTGTTTGTATTAACTTACTTAATAGTAGAAACAATATTGAGAAAGTGCAAAGATGGATAGTGCCTAGTAGTAGAATCCAAGACGTGCGTCTCATCCACTGCTAACCACTATTCTTCTTTGCTTATAATGCTTGCGAATTAAGGCAATACCGAGGTAATACGCACAGTATGAACATATACCAATAACAGACTGATCAATTGCAGCCCTAAACATCAATAGAATGACTCAAGTAAACAATACTAAGTGAATTTAATGTTGAGAAAACTTTGTGACATTCGTTGATTAGATTTCTAATTATAGTTTTAACGTTTTCAATAAATCAATTACAGCACTAAGATTAGTTTAAATGACACAGTAATGCTGATTGGGATTTCACTGTCAATCAAGAAAGCAATAGATGTCTATTTTTCTGAGTTTGAGAGTAGGCATAGATTAAGCTTAGAACATTAGAGATTTAAACCATGCCCTATACTGTCAAAGCTCCACGATCTACATTTTTGACATTAGTTTATTTCTGGTATTATTTTACCAAATTTTGATAATATTAGTAGTTTCACTGTTAATGTGAATTAACTCAATCAGTCATTAACTTTTCATTATGTCTTTGAAAACAATTTTTGAAGTCAGTTGCCAGTAAAATCATAGTTTATCATTCACGAAAGTTATTTCTTTCTTAGGGTTACTTTCAGACATCAGTTGGATCAAAGTACTGAGCATCACATATCCATAGAAATCGTTCAAACCAGTAATATCTCAAAGTATCATGAAGCCTAATGATCGAAATTGTTCATATAATTCCAACATTGTTTCAAACAACCGAGGTGTTTTATTCAAGACATTAGAATTAATTTAGACAATATTTAAATTCGTAACAACTCAGTCAACGTTTACTATAAGGATAGAGTTAAAACATGTATGTATCTCATTAGAGTGCATAAATCATCATTTCAACTAAATGGTTATTAACATCTTATAGTTTTACTAAAACATGGGAGTGCAGTTTGACCATGTGTTATAACGCTCGGTTTTACTTCGTCTAATGTTATAACGGTTGGGTTTCCACGTCTATACGTATGGGACGCTAATTTACCTTAGACGAATATCTACACTAGATTCCCTCCCAGTGTTTATTCTGCAGAACGTCAACACAACTTAGATCAAGAACACGTGATTAGCCTGACCACAACGTAAATATGTTTCCACACCGAAACCCGACACAATCCAACAACAATGAACAATCGATAATAAGTGAATAATAATAAGGATAAGGGAATATATATATAACTCATCTGACACCTGTCAGACTATCTACATGTCTGACTAAGCAGACAACCACTTATTATTATTCTCGTCCACACATCACCATGCTGAATGTAAGACAGTTACTTACCAAGTGAACTGGAAGATGATTGTGCAAGATTATGAATTTATTGGAATTAAACAATGTAAACTGTTATGTATCCATTCAATGGTCTAGAGGGTAAACATTCACACTCAAGATCAAAAGTCATGGGTTCGATACCAAATCCCAGGTTCGTGTATGTGCATTGTTAATGTGTCACTTGATATGACGAAAAAGTCGTCCAGTGATCTCAAGTTTTCAGTGACTGTTTAACCAACATCATTTCGCAATGTCAGTAAAAAAACGTATTTTTGTTGAATGATTGATATTTTGGTCTTATACTCATCATAAAGCAATACAAATCAAAAACCATTCAAATCCACAAAGATGTGGTTTATTTAGTTAGAATTAATCTGAAACTTTCAGATGGTAGTATTGGCGAGACTATAATTTATGGACGAACCAATCAGATGTAAGATACCAGGTCCCGGATTTTGGCGCGAAATTCGCTCATCCATTTGACTAAATAGAGTTTTGGCATTATAGCTGATGTTCGTTCGTGATGAAAACCCTAAATGTAATTCTTAAGCCTAACCATCAACTGTAAATCATAGTTCTAATTCTTCACACTGGTTTATAACCCTAATTTGGTCCTAGTTATAATGTGGACAATTTAAAGTTTAGCGTCGCTCAAAGGTCGTTCATAAATTATAGTCTCACTGAAGTATTCAATCATAATTTCGCTTTCAAGATGTTTACAACTCCTTGTAAATTTATTGATTTCTAACTGTTATTAAGAGTAGTAACTCACTGATATAAACAAACACTACCATTGTCATATATATTTAAAGTCTAATGTCAAAATTCTATTGTATTAATAAATATTAAACTGTACCTTTTCAGATTATATTATCATTATATCCTATTATATTATTAGACAGATTTGGTGTTCAACTAACATATTTGATTACCAACCACCACCTAATCTCACAATAGTACACGTAGTGTCGAGTCACCTAGGCTGGTTGCCACATTGCAACATGGCCAATAGCATTCGATCTGCACTAATAATAAGGACTAGACACGTATGACATTGATCGCCACCCAGTGATCAATCAATTGTAATTACCAACCATAGAGATGGTGGAGAAGAACGATGAAGAAAGTTCCACGACCAAACCATCCAGCTCAGAGAACAAAACTCTACCAAAATACCAACCATAGACTTTACTAATCCATGCTTCAACAAAATAGTAAAAGAGTCCTATGTAAAGGATGAGTCACAAATATCAATGATCTAAAGAGTTTTTATGGCATACAAGTTATCGTTGTTAATGGAGTTATTGATAATGAATGTCACTACCCATTATATTCTGGTAATAAAAAGCATTTTTATGTTAGTTTTTTTATAAGAGAAATAGTCATGTTCACTATATTTATACTTTTAAGACAGTTACTTTACAAAATACTTAACACTACATTGTCTATGAACTATAATGTTTAATGAACTGTTAATTGCATTTGTTTTATAAAGTGTAATGAGGTTCTTTCAAATGTAATTGGAGAATTTACAAAACAATATTAAAATATCTAAAGAAGAAGTAAAGATTTGTAGTGACCTACTTTAATCAAGAGAATGCAATCGGTGTAATGGAAACAATTATTATTATAACCAATTGTATTAGTGATTATTTTACTGTACTTGTTTGTTTAACTGTACTAAAGACATACTTTCTTCCGTTCATTGTGACCTTGCACGAATACGATTACGCTCAGTAATCACACTTGTACTCCTTTGGCACGACTCAGTTTTCTTTCGATACCACGACATCGCCAATAAATACATCTCAACTACAGCCATCAACTGCCTTCTGATATTTGGCTTACGGGGGTCTTATCGGTTAACTGGCACGTAGTTTTCTTGTAGTGGTGATCATAGTTAACCGCGACTCGACGCCACGTTACAGATTCTTGACAAGTAACACCTTTCATTGTTTGAAGAATTCAATGCTAACCATTCTTACTTAATCTATTCCTTATCAATATACATCG